AGAGTTGGACCATAAAGAAGGTTGAGTGCTGAAGAATTCTTGCTTTTAACTTGTGGTGCCAGAGAAAAGACTCTTGAGAGTTCCTTGACAGCAAGATCAAACCAGTCAATCCTAAAGGAAATCAACTCTGAATATTCATTAGAAGGACTGTTGCTGAAGCTCTATTACTTTGGCCACCTGATGCAAAGAACCAACTCATTGAAAAAGACCCCGATGCTGGGAAAGATTGAGGGCACGAGAAGGGGTGACAGAGGACAAGATGGCCGGATAGCATTACCGACTCAATGGACATGAATTTGAGCTGACTCTGGGAGGTAGTGGAGTACATAGGAGCCTGGCATGCTGAGTCCTTAAGGTCACAAAAAGTCACAGGACTTAATGAGTGAACAACGACAAGAAAAGCATATTTATGCTTATTTTAGGACTTTCCGTGATCCATTTGGGTGAACGTACCACATGTTCTTGGAAAGCACGTATATCCTGTTGTTGGAGGTGAAGTGTTATATAAACATCACTTTGATCAAGTTGATTCACTGTTGGTAAATCTTCCGTAGACTTGCTTCTTTTCTCTTTATGTATTCTATCACTTACTGAGAGAACAGTGAGGAAATGTGTAACTCTGTGCCCTAATCTATTTCTCCTTTCAGTAATGTCAGTTTTTGTTTCTTGTAATTTGACTTTATGACTACATTTCAAGTTTCAAGGAGGGACTCTTGGTGTTATGTAATGTCCCTCTTTATCATTGATTTGTTCTGAAATCTACTTTGTCTGATATTAATATAGCCATTCCAGCCTTCATAGTATTGCATGGTATATCCTTTTCCATTCTTTTTTAACATATCTATGTCTTTATATTTAAAATGGGATTTTCCTGGAGAAGGAAATGGCAACCCATTCCAGTATTTTTGCCTGGAGAATCCCATGGACAGAGGAGCCTTGGCAGGCTACAGTCCATGGGGTCGCAAGAGTCAGACATGACTTAGCGACTAAACCACCGGAGAAAGACTACCCTCAATTTGGCAGCAAGTGACAACTGTCCTTAAGATTTCTTTTTTTTTCCCCTGATAAAAAAGAAAACACTTGGAAAATGAAAATAATAAATTTTCTATTCAAATGTAAAAACAAAATAAAATGGGATTTTGTCACCAGCATATAGTTGGATCTTGCTTTTTCAAATTCAGTCTGACAATCTCCTTTTAATTGTAATGTTTAGACCGGTTACATTTAATGTAATTATTTATATGGTAGATTTAAGTCTACCACCCTGCTGTTTGTTCTCCGTTTGTTGTATTTGCTTTTTCTTTCTTTTTTCACCCTTTTCTGCCTTCTTTGGTTTAATTGGGTATTTTCATGATTTCGTGTTCTCTCTTCTGCTGCCCTATCAGTGGTTCTGGAGCTCTCTCATCTCCAGAGCTCTCGCCCACAACTTTCAGTTGCCACAGCCTCTCTGGGCCCCTGGCTCTGTCTCCGTAACCCTTTGTTTTTGAGGCATGCTCTGTGTGGAACCCCTCACCCTGCTCCTTGGTCCAGAATGTGCCCTGAGGCAGAAACCCAGAGTGGCAGCAGAACCTTGCTTGTTTCCTTTCTCTCAGGAGCCACAGTTCTCCATTGGTTTTCAGGGTCAGTAGACGGTAGCTTTATATATTTGTCCAGTGTTTTGTTTACAGGGGGAGGGTGAGTCTGGTCCTGGTTAGCCGTCCGTGACCAGAAGTGGCGGGTTTGTGTTTATCCCACATGCTCTCTCTTCACGCGCTTGTGTAAGCAGAGCGACGGTGCAGCGAGTGTGGCGGCCTCAGAGGACTGCCGTCAGCCCACACAGTGGCCTGTGTGCACTTTCCCCTTGAAGGGGCACAGCACAGCAAGTCAGCTCCTATAACACGGGTTCCAGCTCTGCCCCACGCATGGTGCGAGCTTGGGGGAATCACTTGCCCTTCTAACGTTTTTCTAAATTTGGGAGTCAGGGTGGGGAAGGAAGACTCTTGGGTTAGAAGACCCCCTTCATGAGCCAGCTGTCCCGTACTTGTTAGAATCAGCCGTAACCTCCAATGGGAATGATGATGAGTAACTGAGAGAATGTATGTATGTGCTACAGGTTACTGCTCAGAGGCTTTACCCAGGTCCAAGAGGGAGAGGTGACAGGATGTTCTGTTGATTCAAATAAAACAAAATCTTTAACAGGACTTCATTCTCTATATTATTTCCTCTGTTGTTTGAGTCTCATTTCCCTCTCGGTTGCTGCTTGGGTTTGAGCTGGAGAAGATAAGCCACTCCCTAGCAAGGACAGGCTTAATCCAGGACCCCATTTAATCACAGGTATGTGCAATTTGCCAGCAACTAATGGCTTAGAAATAGAGGAAGACAATAGAATGGTAAAGACTAGAGATCGCTTCAAGAAAATTAGAGATACCAAGGGAACATTTCATGCAAAGATGGGCACAAAAAAGGACAGTAATGATATGGACCTAAGAGAAGCAGAAGATATTAAGAAGAGGTGGCAAGAATACACAGAAGAACTATACAAAAGAGATCTTCATGACCCAGATAATCACGATGGTGTGATCACTCACCTAGAGCCAGACATTCTGGAATGCGAAGTCAAGTGGGCCTTAGGTAGCATCACTATGAGCAAAACTACTGGAGGTGATGGAATTCCAGTTGAACTATTTCAAATCCTTAAAGATGATGCTGTCAAAGTGCTGCACTCAATATTCCAGCAAATTTGGAAAACTCAGCAGTGGCCACAGGACTGGAAAAGGTCCATTTTCATTCCAATCCCTAAGAAAGGCAATGCCAAAGAATGCTCAAACTACCACACAATTGCACTCACCTCACATGGTGGCAAAATAATGCTCAAAATTCTCCAAGTGAGGCTCCAGCAGTACGTGAACCAAGAACATTCAAATGTTCAAGCTAGACTTGAAAAAGGCAGAGGAACCAGAGATCAAATTGCCAACATCTGCTGGATCATCAAAAAAGAAAGAGTTCCAGAAAAACATCTATTTCTGCTTTATTGACTGCACCAAAGTCCTTGACTGTGTGGATTACAACAAACTGGAAAATTCATCAAGAGATAGGAATACCAGACCACCTTGTTGCCTCCTGAGAAATCTGTATGCAGGTCGAGAAGCAACAGTTGGAACTGAACATGTAACAACAGACCAGTTCCAAAGAGGGAAAGGAGTATGTCAAGGCTGTATATTGTCACCTTGCTTATTTAACTTTTATGCAGAGTACATCATGCAAAATGGCAAGCTGGATGAAGCACAAGTTGGAATCAAGATTGCCAGGAGAAATATCAATAACCTCAGATATGCAGATGATACCACCCATATGGTAGAAAGTGAAGAGGAACTGAAGAGCCTCTTGATGAAAGTGAAAGAGGACAGTGAGAAGGCTGGCTTAAAACTCAACATTCAAAAAAAAACAAAAGATCGTGGCATCCGGTCCCATCACTTCATGGTAAATTGATGGGGAAACAAGGGAAACAGTGACAGACTTTTATTTTCTTGGGCTCCAGAATCACTGCAGATGGTGACTGCAGCCATGAAATTAAAAGATGCTTACTCCTGGAAGAAAAACTATGACCAACCTAGACAGCATATTAAAAAGCAGAGACATCACTTTGCCAACAAATGTCCATCTAGTCAAAGCTATGGTTTTTCCAATAGTCATGTATGGATGTGAGAGTTGGACTGTAAAGAAAGCTGAGCGCCAAAGAATTGATGCTTTTGAGCTGTGGTGTTGGAGAAGACTCTTGAGAGTCCCTTTGGACTGCAAGGAAGTCAAGCCAGTCAATCCTAAAGGAAATCAGTCCTGAATATCCATTGGAAGGACTGATGCTGAAGCTGAAACTCCAGTACTTTGGCCACCTCATGCGAAGAACTGACTCATTGGAAAAGACCCTAATGCTGGGAAAGATTGAAAGCAGGAGGAGAAGGGGACAACAGAGGATGAGATGGTTGGATGGCATCACCAACTTGATGGACATGAGTTTGAGTGAGCTCCAGGAGTTGCTGATGGACAGGAAGCCTGGTGTGCTGTAGTCCATGGAGTCACAAAGAGTCAGACACAACTAGGCAACTGAACTGAATGGCTTTTTGAGTTGCATGGCGTGCCATCTCCATTCTCCATGTAAGGCCTCAGCCCACAGCCCCCTGGGACCTATGCCTCCCAAAGAAAACGTGTCTGAGGAAGTGATGTGGTAGCAGGAGCGGGGGCTCTTACACACTTAACTCCGTGACCTCAGACATAACTGTTGAAATTCAGGGAACCACCATCCATTATCAAAGGAGCTTGCAGAGACGCGCTATATCTAGCTTCTGCCCCTTTCTCTTTGCCTGCCTTCTCACATGCTGCAGTCTGTCGTTCTTCAGTTACCATTGGACACTCAAGGGTAATGGACTCTGTGGGGCAGGTACAGGTGTATCATTTTCACTTGGACCCATAGAAAAAACTAGGGTGGAAGATGGACATTTCAGATAAGAAAAGGAGAATGCCAGGAAGGAGGTACCTGCCTTTGTCAGATGAGAACGATAGCAAAATGCAGAACGTGTTTGATGAAGCAGAGACAATACTGAGAGTTCAGAGAAGAAAACCAGAATTCTGAGTCTTCATAATAATGGTGACTGTCTTTTATTGAGTGTCTGCTACATGTTAGCAGAGCTGTGCGGAATCCTTTCCATGCCTTTCCTCAGATGAAGATTCTGAAGCTCTGGCAGGTTCTCTGTGACTCCTCCTAGTGGCACACAGTCACGGAGCGATGGGAGCCGACCGAGGCCAGGCTGTCTGATGCAAAAGGCCAGCTCCTAGCCACTGCCGTGCACAACGCTGGGCGGGAGATGGCCTGGCACTTACGCACGAGTGTTATCTCGGTGTGACCTTGAGCGTATCACAGCCCCTCTCTGGATCAGTTTCCTCATCATCCTAAAGTTGGCCTATGCTGCGTAATTCAGACCCTTTTCAGTTTTCACTTCTGTAACAGCATCTCTCAAACGTTTCAGGCTGAGGAAAAGGCAGATGCACTGAATAAGGAGCTGCTTATGACCAAACAGAAGTTGATTGACGCAGAGGAAGAGAAAAGGAGGCTGGAAGAAGAGTCTGCTCAGGTACGGGGAGCTTCGCCTCTCCCACACTCCTCTATGTCTTGCAGATGCTTGAGAGCTGGAATTTCACTGCTGGCTTCCTGTTGGCCTTGGAGAACTCTGTGGACAACTGGCTTGAGTTTCTCTCCAAAGGCCTTTTTTATTTACTGGGTAAAGCAACATAATGGTTCTTAATAATTAAAATGTAGGAGGAGATAGGCAGAGCCCACCCTTTCACCGGGGCAGAAGTTCCTGTGTGTCAGCATCTGAGTGTGACCAAAAAGGTTAGCATTTCTGCGGAAGGAAAGCAGACGTCTCACAGTGTGTGGCTCCTCCCCTACTTGCCCTGTCCAAGCTCTCCCCAGAGCCAGCTCTGGGGGCCTCGTCCTCAGCACAGCCCTGAAGAGCTTCGGGTGCTGCGCCCTGGGCAGGCTGGTTCTGTTTCACTGTCCACCCGCTTCTCATCTCAGTCAGGCAGCCCAAGCTGAGAGCTGTCGGGCACGTCCCACCTAACCCCCGAGGCGCTGGAGGAGCAGTCATGCTCCCGTCAGCGTTTCCTCGACGTTTGCTCTGCTCAGGGTCCCAGTGTGGGCTGCGCTGACAGCAGGGACTTCAGCCAAAGCCCCACCTGAAGCAGGGTTTGATGTTGTAGGATATTCTGGCTTCTCTCCCGGCATCAGGAGTAGGGTTCGTACTGCTGAGAGAGAGGGGAGGAGACGGGAGCACCCCTCTGGGACTGTGGGGTCAGCGCAGCATGACACAGCTCCTGTCTGTCCCCCTCAACCGTCAGTCACCTGTGCTTTTCTTACTGTTCACAGTTAAAAGAAATGTGCCGTCGGGAGCTCGACAAGGCAGAGTCCGAGATTAAAAAAAACAGCTCTATCATTGGCGACTACAAGCAGGTAGGTCTGTGCCCTAGAAGTGGGCCACATGCTCTGGGTGCTGTGCTTGGATGCATGAGGGGTTTCCTCTGCACACCCCCTCGTGTCCCCACTTGGCCTCTGGCCCTGCAGAGTCCCTGTGCTTCTGACGAGTTCCGTGCTGACTCCCAGCTGTAAAATTAGGGGGACTCTCCCAGAGAACTGTTGTGAGGAGTCCAGAGATTATGTTTGTGGAGCCCCTGCCTTAGGTCCCTCACGCAAGCAGGCACGTGATCCCTGGAGGCCACCCTGGTTCTTGGGAGCACCTCAGACTCCGGCTGTTCACGTGTGGTCCTGTGATGTGGAACCATCTGTCCCCAGCTGGTCCATTCTGACAGCATAACTGAATTGGTCTTGTGCGTTCTGTCCTGGGATCTCTTGCTGGCTCTAGAGTCTGGTGTGTCTGTAACGTTGACCATCGAGTGTGGCGCTGACGGCTTCTCGCAGGTCCTGGGCCGATGGATGCGGAGGTGATAGGGCCAGAGGACCCTCTGCCCACCTGTCATCTGCCCTCCTCCCGCTCAGTACTGTCTTAATTCATGGTCCAGCCTCCACTGTAGAATTCACCACAAGCCCAGACTGTGCAGATTACGACACTGCTGAAGAGACTGTCATTTGAATACTGTGTTTGTTTTCTTAGATTTGTTCTCAGTTGAGTGAAAGATTGGAGAAGCAGCAGACTGCTAATAAAGTGGAGATAGAGAAAATTCGGGTAAGTCTTCATTTATCAAAGAGGTTTTATCCCCCCTAGTTCATTTAATGGCTATATTCAGCACAAAACATTTTGAGAGGGGGATACTCTGCTTGGATTTCAAAAGTGAGAGAAGCTGATGTGTGCCTGACAAGGCAGCTGTCAGGACCTGGTTCAGCAACTGACAGCTCATGTTTTGCCTCTTTGCGTTGGGTGGGGGACACAGATCAGACCAGAAGAGTTCTGACTTTAGACCTCAAGATACAAGTGTCCCTTTTCTTTATAAATTTGCACAACATCCTCCTCTGGATACCTGACTTGTAAAAAGACGAAATGCAAGAGCCCCAAGACTTGAGGTGTTGTCTGTGTCTCCTGCAGTGCCACGCTGATGTGGAAGGGTCCTGCGAGTAACAGGCTTCAAGTGAGGGTGCGGGCTGTGGAGGCGAGGCCACTCCCCGTGTTTCTCTGTACCATGGGGACCACTCCCCACGTTCTTCTGTACCGTGGGGACCACTCCCCGTGCTTCTCTGTACCATGGGGGCCACTCCCCACGTTTCTCTGTACCGTGGGGGCCACTCCCCGTGTTTCTCTGTACCGTGGGGACCACTCCCCATGTTTCTCTGTACCGTGGGGACCACTCCCCACGTTCTTCTGTACCGTGGGGACCACTCCCCGTGTTTCTCTGTACCGTGGGGACCACTCCCCACGTTCTTCTGTACCGTGGGGACCACTCCCCGTGTTTCTCTGTACCGTGGGGACCACTCCCCACGTTTTTCTGTAGCGTGGGGACATCTGCCTCCTACTATAATGGACCCTGATACAATGAGAACTGGAGTTTTTAATTGTTGCCAGTTTCAGAGTTTTTGTACCTTGATGTTTTCTTTCTTTATTATTAGACTACTTGTCAACTTTTACTAAGATGACTAATTTACTGAAAGATACTTTACTTACATATTTACAACTGGGTGGACAGAAATGTGGGAGAGTTCATGGTCATGTCTGCAAGAAACAACATTTTACCTGGAGCAAGATGATACTTGGCCTCTATCATAAGCAATGTTTAACCAGCAGTACCTATTTTTTAAGCAAAATTCATTTTCTGATTCTAAAACTAATAGTGTTCATTGAAGAAAACTGGAAAATACAAGTAAAGGAGCGGGGCGGAAGGCCTTATAATCTTACTACCCACAGACTACATCACCATTAACACTTCGGTGTGTATTCTTTCAATGTTCATATTTCCTCTGACATACGAATTTTCTTTCTGTCTAAGATAAACACATTTTTTTCAAATATACATCTGAAGTTGGGCACATTTTATAATTAATGGCTTTTGTGGTTTTACTGGCAGAATATTTTCTTAAAGGAAAATGAAATGATGTTTCTTACAGTCATTGCTATCTTATTTTCATGAAATGTGGTATGTATTTGTAACTATGCTTTAAAGACATTTTCATGTCCTAGTTCACCCAGCACCATAACATTTTTACCAAATTATGAAAAATTCCTCAAAAACTTTTTCAAGGGTGCATACTTCCTTGTATTAATACAGCACATCCTATGTAATTTCTCCCAGGAGCTGGATAGTTTATCTCCCCACCCCTTTTTTGTCTCTCTAATTCTGCAGTGAAATTCCTTGTACATAAATCTTTATCTAGTCGCTCCTTTTTCATTTTTTTAGCTAAGGTTCCTAGACGTGAAATGACTGGATCAAGACATGAGAATATTTGTGTTGCTTTTGGTGTGTAACGCCAGGTGATTTTCCCAGTAGGTCATCTAACAAGTTACAAAAAGAACGTAGTTTTTCAGAAGCTGCAGTGCTCAGCCAGGCTCCCCAGAAAAGAGATGTTCAGATCTTCACATCTTCTTTGTCTCATTACATCTGACCTTCAATTTCAGCAAAAAGTAGATGACTGTGAACGCTGCCGGGAATTTTTCAACAAAGAAGGGCGCATAAAGGGCATGGGCTCAGCTAAGGAAGTTGTGGATGAGGATACAGATGAGGAGAAGGAAACACTCAAGAACCAGCTGAGAGAGATGGAGCTGGAACTGGCACAGACCAAGCTGCAGCTGGTGGAAGCAGAGTGTAAGATCCAGGTAACAGTCGCAGCCTCTTATTCCCAGCCAGCCCTTTGCCCCTGATGCGGGGTGGCCCAGACCTGCATGAGGGTATGATTTTCTGGGGCTAGAAACCCCAGAAATGATATTGACGGTTTGGGGGTTTTTTCCCTTAAAACTTTGACCATAATCCTCCTGGGAAGAAGCCTGTTACTTGTTATTTACTAATGGACATTTAATTAGTATTTAGCCTGTCCTAAGAATTGGGCTTTCTCATAATGAGAATTATCCATCAAACTTGGAATCCTTCTGGTGGAGGAGAGAACACATGATTTGAAATTGCAGCTGCACCACCGAACTCTTTGATGTTGGGTTAGTCACCTCCTCATACTTCAGGTTCCTCATCTGCCAGTGGAGGTGATGAGGGTCACTCTGATGGTTTGCTTTGAAGACTAAAAAAGATAATGCACAGAAGGGGCTCAGCACGGTGTCTGAGGGCTTCGCAATACCAGCTTTTATGTCCCAGCTTCTGTCACTTAACCAGCTTTGTGCCTTAGGACTTATTACCTCATTTATCTGAGCCTCCTTTCCTGAAGAAACTGGGACTTATTTTGGTCATCTTTATACTCATTGGCTAGTTCCGTCCGCACCGTGCTGAGCGCCGGGTAGGCAGTGAGCACGGAGCGTGGAGGAAACCAAGTTTAGGACCGAAGCTGAAGACCTGGTCTTCCTATCGCATCCGCCACCTGGACACCTGCTTGCCCAGGCTCTGTTTCAGGTGCTGGCACTGCAGAGCTAAGATGTGGCTTGGGTGACTGTCCAGGATAATTAGGAAGGACCTCAGCGAGGGCGAGGTCTGCGATCAGAGTGAACAGAGGTTGCTGCTGGTGCAGGGGAGGAGCACTGAGCCAGCCGCGCGCATGGCGTGTCCAGCAGCACAGAGGGGGCACAGTGGGCCTGCCCAGATTGTGAAGCCTCTCACGTGTCTTGCTAGCAGGTCTAGACGTCTAAGGTGCTTGCTGGAAATTAATGATGCATTCTTAGCTAGAGCGTTGGGCCTGGCTGCTGGTGTGCAGTGGGTAGATGGAGGGTGAGATGCTCAGATGGGAGGCTGTTTCAATAAAAAGATGAGGTCTTAACTAGGAAAGGTCCCAAAGCTTTTGGCCCTCCACATCTTTCTGTGCCAGTTTTGAGAACTGGGGAGGCGGTGGGGGGGTGGGGTTGCAGATTCCATAGGTGTCTCAGGAGACAGACCCCACTTGTTGCCCTGGCTCAGCTCTGGGGAGGCAGTGTCATTTGCACAGGAGAGCAGCATCCTCATGTCCATTGTTGCTCTTCCAGGACTTGGAGCACCATTTAGGCCTTGCCCTCAACGAGGTCCAGGCAGCCAAGAAGACGTGGTTTAACCGAACACTGAGCTCCATAAAGACGGCAACGGGGGTTCAAGGGAAAGAGACTTGCTGAGAACAGCTGCTGCGTCCAGACCCTTCAGAAAACATGACACCTTTTGTTGCCTTCTTTGGCCAGATGTGTGATTCTGTGACATGTCCCAGGACAGAATGTCTCTAAGTCAGATCCATAGAAGCCTGTCGGGAGGGAGGTCACTGTGGACCAGAGCCCGTGAGGCTCTCCTCACTGCTGATACTAACAGGCCCGCCGACTCGCCTGCTGCTCTGGACTCTCCGAACGTCACTCCTCTGTGTGACCTCCAGCCTCTTCCCATTAGGTCAGCTCGTTCCCAGCCCAGCGTCCGAGGTGACGTTATCAGAGTTCGGGGATCTTCAGGCTGTTGGTTTTTTTCTAAACCTTTTTTTTTTTTTAAATACACACACACATACAAAAATATATATATATATATAAATATATATATATACAGGGGGACGTAGGGCAGAGGATCAGTAACGCAAGTGTCTGCTCCAGCGCTGCAGAGGGTCCTCCGGGTAGACATGGAGAAGCACTTTGTTTAAATAGGAGGGTTTCATGGTTGTAGTTGAAGCCACCTAGTTTTGTTAAACTCTACAATGCACAGGTTTTCGGTTTGGCATTATTCATGTTTCTGATCAATTCTATGCAACTCTCATAGTTTCTGTTGTTTTTATTGTTAGCTGCCAAATGACTCCACAGTGCTGGGGTGGGTGACTCAATCGACTGTGAGACTGGATTAATCATAACGTGGACAAATCTTATTTTGCTTAATGTGTCTGTGTGTGTGTGTGTGTGTGTGTGTGTGTGTATAAATATCTTTTTCCCAATGCACCCAACTGACAGTGTTTAAATCCCAGACCAGGACTGATCTGCACAAGTTAATTATGTGGTTATTTGGGCACTTACTTCACTCAAGGTTTGTCGGGCTCTGCACTCCACCCTGCTGTCGTGAGAGCTGTGAAGAGCACCTTCACTTCAAAGTTCCTAGTGTTTTTGCACAGCAGGTTGTACAAGTGAGAAAGACTCTGAGCTCTGTGTGTGTGTGTGTGTGTGTGTGTGTGTGTGTGTGTGTGAGAGAGAGTGAGTGTGTGAATGTAAGGCTGTGCAGACACACACGCCAAGAGGCCCGCGTCCGACTGGCCTGTGTCCCTGCCTGCCTGGGCCCTCCCTGGGGTGAGGCCAGCGCAAGCCTTGCTCTTCAGATGGGCTGCAAGTTCTCACTTCAAAACTATAGAATGGGGGTTTTAGCACCTTTTTTTAAAAAATAACTTTAGACTTTTAATTTATATAGTGATAATGCTGACAGGCTGTCTCGCGGATGATTCTGCCGTCTTCTCTGCGCGCAGTGTGGAGGTAGCTGGTTACAAGAGGCACTGGTTTGTATATAAAGACACTTGGGTTGTTTTCTATCTCTCTTCCTGTTGGCTGTATTAACACTTGCTGAGGTCATCGGTGATAAGGGAGGTACTGAGCGGCAACCCCTGATCCCCCAAACCGCCCCCCCCACGGCTCTCTGTGTCGTTCTTGTTCAGTTACCGAAACCGCTATAAGCGCATCTAAAACTAGGTGTGTGGACATTGTGCTAGGGTAGTTTCTGTGTGTCAACTCTATGAACTGAAATATAAACCAGTAAAATTGTATTACTGTTTCTTTTGTTGGTTTTATTTTAACAGCATATTCATTAAATATTTTGGTACAAACAGCATCGCTTTGTAAAAACCAGTTTTATTACGTGCTCTTGCCCACTCCCCCCCCCGCCCCCGCCCCACTGTGCGCTGACAGGTGTGTGTGAGCAGCGGGCAGCGCCTCCGCCTTCGTCCATTCCCTTACTGAGCAGCCGTGTGCGCCAGGCCCGTGGGGGGTGGCGGGTGGGGGGAGGAGACGCAGGCTTTGTCCCCCGGGGGCTCTGCCGGCACCGTCCTCATGAGCACTGTCCATCCTGGAGAAACGAAGTGCTGTGGTGACAGGTGAGACATGACCCGTGTGCTCCAGGTCTAGGGAAGTCTCACTGCAAGTGAGGGAGTGGGAAGGCCTGGAAGACGAAAGCATCTTAACCAGGCCCAGATGGAAGAGCACTACAGGCCCGGGATGTGAACGTGCAGGGCAAGCAGCCGAGGGGCAGGCATGGTCAGCACCCAGCCTCTCCGGGAGAGTGTCCTTCCGACCACTGCTGGTCTTCCTACACTGCAGCCCCCCAGGAGGCGGCTCCCAGACCGGCCGTCCTTCACCACGTCACCCACTTCTCTGCAGCAGGAAGACGAGAGCAGCACTCCCCCCCACCCTATGGCCCCTGCTTGCTTGACCTGCCCTCCACAACTCCCACACCAGCCTCTGGATGAAGCGGGCCGAGCTGCAGGCCCCGGAGAAGGGAATGCGGTGAGTGAGCCCTGCCCCATCTCCTCTCCACGGCCCTGATGCAGGCCTGGTTCCTGGCAAGCGGCCGGACTGTGGCAAGCGCTCTGCAGAGGCCGGCACAGGCACTCCGGAGGACAGGTGGGAGCCCTTTGCTGCTCAAGGGCAGAGGGCACGTTTCTGGGACCCACACTGCTGGCCAACCAGGTCAAGAGTCCAGAAGGGCTGGCCTGCCCCTGGCTTTTCCCGGCCCCAGGGTCACACTGTGAGGAGGGTAGGGGCTTACAGAAAGCGTCCACCCAGCAGCTGTGCCCTGTCAGGAGAAAGGCACTTGGCCCGTCAGCCTTGGCAGACCCAAAGTGACCAGGGTCACCCCGAGAGCATGAAGGAGCTCCTCCTTGGTGAGGGTGGGACTGGACGAAGGCCCACCCGTTGCTTTGGTGACTGGGAAGCTGCTGGGGCTCAGTGGGAGGAGCTGCAGAGGTGGCAGAGTGCAGCGAGGCGCCAAACCTGGCGCCCCAGGGAGCTGAAGCAGAGTGTAGGCTTCAAGCTGTGAAGGTCAGTCGGGGGGGAAGGAGGGCGGTTGGAGGGAACCGTGGTGGGAAGAGCAGTGATCGTGAGACTTCGTGTTGGAAAACTGGCATCCTGGTCCTGACCGTGTGACCAGGGCTGCACTTCTTCCCCGACTGCAAGACATGAGACAGGCTGCGTTGAGCAGGCCCTGCTGAACGTGCGCAGATCAGGGGCCGCTCGCTGTCTCTGCGGGGTGAAGGCAGGAGGGATCCACCGCCCAGTCTCTAAGAGTGCTGTCTCCATCTGTTCTGAACCCCGAGTCCCGGTGGCAGAAGAGTGCCATGCAGGGAGTGAAGGAAAGAAAAGCCCTCTAGAACTAAGCCCAGAACAGCACACTCAGCTCTGAACTGTGTGAAAGGACAGGGCTGTGCTCCCGCACACCCAGGAGCCATGCAGAAAGAGTGAGTAGGTGCCAGGGGAGGAGTTGCCTGGACTCCCGGACCTTTTGGTTCATCTGGATGATGGACGTGTGGAGGGCTGTAGTGCTTCACTTGCTCAGAGAGATGCGTGATTCTCACCCTGGGATTCAGGCCGCCGCCTCAGCTTCATTCAGAGAGTGAGGAGAAGCAGGCAGATGAGCTCAGAATGGCTCGGATGCTCAGTTCCAGAACAAAAGGACTGAGCACTGCCTACCCCTGCCCTTCCCCCGCTTCTGTAGGTGTAGGAATCTGGCCTGTAGAGAGGTTTCTGGCCTAGACCATGCGGTCTCTCAGCTCCCAGCGACCAGCAGGGCAGCTGCTTTGAGATGACCACACAGGCAGCAGGTGGGGGTGAACTCGGACCACTTCACTACAGCTGCACCGGGGCTTCCCAAGTGGCTCAGCAGGAAAGACTTGCCTGCAATGTGGGTTTGACCCCTGGGTCGGGCAGATCCCCTGGAACAGGCAGTGGTAACCCACTCCAGTATTTTTGCCTAGAGAATCCCCATGGACAGAGGGGCCTGGTGGGCTGCAGTCCATGGGGTCACAAAGAGTCGGACACAACTGAGGCAACTGAGCACGCACACGTACACACACCTGGACCAAAAACCCTGGGTTCAAGCCAAGCCATGACCTTGGATGCTGACCTCCCGTGGGAAGGTCACGTCTCCCTCCTGAGTTCCTCTCCATCTCTGCCATGGCCTCAGCGCTCACTTCTATCTTACGTGTGCTCCTGTTAAGTTCGACCCTTCCCCTGTGTTCTCCCTCCGGTGCTGGAACAGCCCTATTAAGTGGTGCTGTCCCCAGATTTGAAGGTGAAAGTCTTGCCCGTGGTGACAAGATCTTGGATTTCAGTGCTTTCTACCAGGTACCACCACCACCACCTTCTCTGGCCCAAAGCCAGGCAAACAGTGCTCCTCCTGTCACACCCTGGTTTCAGCTCATCTGGCTGTTCCTTGTGCCAGTCACGGGCGAGAGGGTGGGAGCAGGGCGCCGGGGAGAGCAGCAGCGGGCTGGCCCCCTTCCCCTCCATGCGCCTGCCCACGGCCTTCATCCAGTCACCTGGAGCGCAGCACGGGCCCTGGCCTGGCTCCCCCAAGGGCCCCCCCCCCCACCCCGGGCTGCCAGGCCATCTTCGTCATTCTTCTGGGGGTGAGCAGAGACCTTAAAGTTACTGGAGCAGTGACTGCAGACCCTCACACAGGGAGCAGTGGTGAAAGCTTTTTTTCAAGTTGCCACCATTTAGAAGTTCTCCTTTAGGCCACTGCCTTTACCTCTCTCAGCCTTAGTGTCAGGGGGGAACGGGTCAAGAGTAAGACTGAGGCAGGTGTGTGAGAGGCAGACGCCAAATCAAGGCAGTGGCCACAGCTTAGCACCCCCTGCACCAGCTGTGGGTCAGGCTCCGGCGGCGTAAACTTGCATCATTAGCAGAGAAGCAGTATCAAGGACTGTAAACAGGAGTGGGGCTGAGGCCTGGCCCTCTGCAGTGAAGGGAAGGTCCTTCCTCAGGTGCTGAGCTGGAGGGTCGAGGTGGCTGTGCGCTTGACCCTTTCATCATAGCCAGAGTAAGTCCTGCATAGAAAAGTCCAGCCCAGTGCTGTTGAAGACAGAAGCTTTTATTTTTATTCATCCAAATGAGGAAAATGCAATATGTCAGGGCATTACAGACAAGCTGCAGCAGCCAGACAAGAGGGTCGGTCAGTCTGTTACAGAGTCCAACACAGTCAGTGTGGAGGAGCCGCAGTGTGGACGCTGCCTGTGGGAGTCGGGGTGCAGAGAATCCCTGTGATGAAGGCCAGGCATCTCTGGGCGAGGCACTGGAGCCAGTCCGCACGTGCAGGCTGTTGCCTCAGCCTTACCGCTCAGAGTCCTACATGTCCTCACCGCCCCAGAGCGGGGCAATCCACGCTGCTCGCATTCGCCAATGTTTTTTTTAATATAATACACAACATAGTTATTGCCAAGGACTTTGCACTGCAGTACTATGTACACTTGCGTATTCAGAGAAAAAAAAAAAAACAGTAAATAGATAACACAGGTATTTTAAATAGATTTCTTAAGAGCTATCTTGGCCATCACCAGACCAGAGGGAGAGCAAGTTAGCCAAAGTTCGATGTCCTCTGTGTAACTGTGCAGTAAGCCAGAAGTGCTTTCTATCCACAACTCCATGTAGCACTGCCTGAACCCCTGTCCTGGGGCTGAGGGAGGGCTAAGACTGAGCAGGACCCCTTCCTCCTCTGTAAGGGACAGACACCCCTTCAACAGCTCAGGGCTTCAGGTCTAGACTGACTGCCTCCTTCCCAGTGAATTCTGCTCAGAATGGATGAGAAGCAAGTCTCAGCGGCCACCATCCGGGAACCCTACTACATGGCAGGTGGACCAGGGTGCCGGGACTGTGGGGCCAACAGGCCAGCCGCTCCCCCAGCCCACCTGCCTCACTCCTGCACACACCGTGGCCCTACCGAGGGCCCTTCAGGAGACCTGCCTTTCCCTCAACGTGTGGCTGGACCCCAGCCAGCCACTTGGAGAAAGACTAAGCACAGCTGGGCCACACGGTCCCTAGTCAACGGAGCTCCCAGGTACTGAGGGGACAACAGGCTCCACCACTGCTGAGAGCCACAGCAAATGACGTCTGCCTGAGGCAGGTGGCTCACGACTCATTCAGACATCATGAGAGACAAAGGAGCAGCCCGACCAAGCATTCCCTTTGCGGCCTCAAGACCCTGGAAAGGAAGTCTGCCTGGAGGTTGACAACAGGTCATGAGACATCCAGAACCACCCTTGATCCCTGGGACATGTAGAAAGGCCCCTGCCACCTGAGAAGCCACCACAGTAAGTGAACAAGGGGACCAGTGGTACGCAGTGTCCACAGCACACCCCTACTCTGCAGAGAGAACCCCACCGCACCACATAGGGCCGGCCTGGCAGGTGAAAGAAGAGGTATTTCAGGAACCTGACTGAACTCCCAGTTGTGCCTCACGCATGGCCCATCATCACAACCTGTGCATCGGGGCCACAGCTGAGGGAGCTGGTGAGGTGAAGAGTTGAAGAGGCTCAAAGGTGCAACGTGAACAAGGAAAGGAGTGTAAGCTTAACCACAACTTAAGCCTGAGGGTGTCTGTGAGGAGAGGCGCTCACGCCATCCTGAAGGGAGCGGGGAAGAGGCTGGATACTGGGAATTAGGTGCAGCGTCCTTGATAATACAGTGCAAGTGGAGAAGTCTTCTAGCTGTCTATGACTCATTTCCCTCAACACAAATTTTAAAGTTTTCCCAGAACAAATAATAGATTCAAAAAAGAACTTTATACCATCATCTGTTTCCCTAAGCAGGAAAATGAGACAGATAGCATCAAGCTTAGGACAGGGCGACTCCAGAAGAGTCTGGGTCCCCCGACACGAGTAAGCCTCCCTGTGAGGCCAGAGCTGCCGTGCAAGGATATGGCTGGTACCCCAGCCAGCTGCATCTCCGGAAGATACAAGCCACAGGCGTTAGAGGGAGGGAGTTACACACGTACTGGCATCCCGGCAGCCCCGCCAGGAGCCAGGTGGGCCCAGCAACAGCAGCATGCACGCCCTGGAGCCATGGCTTCTCAGCGACTCTATGTCCACCACCCTCACCTGATGCCACAAGCTCACTCAAGCAGGCACCAGTTCCCCACCAGTATTAGGCCCTTCCCACATCTGCCCAGCAGCTCAGGCAGCACCAAACCCCTCACCTGCTGGCTCCGTCCCCAGAGGACCCACAGGCCACGTGAGGCCGGCCGCATCCACTCCCAGCTGGGGGCCTTCTCTCCTGAGCTGCACGGGAGCCTCACCCCCTCCCACAGGCATCCGCACAGGCGCTCGTGCGCTCCTGAAGCCAGCACCCTCCTGACTTCCATCCACCTCACAGGAGAATGCTGACAGCTCACAGCCCTGAACTTCACCTCTCGGTGCTCAGTCAACAGCTGTGCCCTTGGTTTGCCTAGAAACATCTCTGAGGGAAAATACTGTGGAGAGTAGAAAAAACTTGGTTTCTTTTCATTGCCCCAACTTCACAGAGCACCCTGGGGCCGGCACCGTGTCTGAGTCACAGTCACCCCTGGCGTCTGGGATGCGCCTGAGCAGCGACTGCTCCAGCCTGCGCATCCTGCCTCCGCGGTTCACAGGCTTCTCCCTCCCTCTCCTGCATAAAGCTTTCTTGCCAGGTGACTCCACTCTGAGGCGAGGGAAGCCCATCCATAGCATTTTTCACCCTCGTACACCATGGCCCTCAGCCAGCATTAGACCTCAAACAAGGTTTAATTTATGTTGCCCTTGTAAGGGACTTCTGGATAGCGAGAGAAGCAGCACAAAGGTGGCTGACTTCGCCATGTCATAAACCGGGTCCCTAATGCCACCGAGAGTCAGAAAAGCTATCTGACTCGCAGGCCTCCCTTTCCCACTAGAGTTCCAACATGGTAAGCAAACTGGGCCAAAGTCCAGATTGAACTGAAAGATACCACTTGTAACAAGCCTAATCTTCTCTAAGCAGAAGATCTTTCCAAAGCATGTCTGTGATCACATGACCATCCTGAGCACAACCTCCACCGTGGCTCCCAGGCACCCTCAGTTCACAGGTTCCTCTCGAGCTAGTTCACCGTGGCTTTCCGTTTCAGCACCTGCTTCCCAAACAGGACCCACCTCTCCCTCAAAACCTGAGGTCCTTCTGGGCAAGAGCCGCACACCTGACAGACAAGCAGGAAGCCCTGTGGAAGACGGATGGGTCCAGGCAGCAGATGTGAGGAAGCCTCCAGTCATGATTACGCCAGAGGGACTGGACAAGCGTGGCCCACAACTGTCTGCACACTGCTCAGCTGCTCTGGCAGCGCCGAGCGGCCATGACCACCACACAGGCCACACAGCCTGAACAATTTACTGACACCAGGCCTAGGGCAGTGTCCACGTCGTGACACATTGAAAGGTGATGTGTGCGCAGAGGCGGCCCACTGGGCTGAACAGAGACTCCCGAACATCCCAAGGGCTTGATGGGCTGTGTCTCAGTGAACCTCGACCTTTAGAGCTTTGACTGAAGTGCTCAAACCACCGCTGCCTCTTTAGCCCTCGTCCCCAGCAGAGCTATAGAACTGCAGACGTGCAGAAGCACCACCCCCTTCCCACCACTCCCTTCCTCCGAGCTCCCCGGCAACCCGGGTGGAATGAGAACAGAACAGGCCCAAAGCAGATTTACTAGTAATCTTAACAGTCCCGCCTTTTTCTCCTTAAAGTACTTGTAGAACAAGTGCATACCTCCTTTTTCTACAGATGTTGAATCCAAGGGACTCCACCTCTTGCCAGGTGAAGAGGCCAAAACTACTTGAAAAAGCAGAAGCCTCTGTACCAATGACCATCCAGTACCTGCCACTCCCTTGACTGGCAAACTCGGCAGAGCTGGCTACAAACCTCTCCATCCATCACCAAAAAGCTTCCCAGAGAGCACAGGAGGGGCACGGGGCACCAGGCCCACCAGACCCCCACTTCCTGGCCCAATGGAGGCAGTCCCTGCCGCCCCCCATTCCTATATTAGTCTCAGGCACCACTGTCGTCCGTCACCTACTGAACAGGGGCCCCCAGTCCCCTTGCTGGGTGTGGGTTCCTGTGGTTCCCTGGCCCCACCACCTCCAGTTCAACCCAGGCAAGGAGCCTGGACATGGAGAAATGCCCTCCCTGCCTCTCAACCCCCAGCTGCCTCCTTCGGCCAGCTGTCCAAACTGACTCCCCCGAGTCGTCTCACCATCCTGGAGGGTGGCCATCACTGAGGCACAGCACCTGAGGCCTTTCAAGGAGGGGCCCCAAACTGCACACCCATGTGCCATTTCACCTTCCAACCATCCCAGTTCCCAGCAACAAGCACCTCCATGCTGTCCCTTCTGCACACACCACACCCCTCTCCTCAAGACCCCACTGGGCCAACCCCTACCCAGTGGATGCCCTTCTCTGCGGGAAGCCTTGGCCACATCCCTGGAGCCCCTCCCTCTCCAAGTCCCTCAGTTCTCAGTCTGCACAGGCCTGGCTCTGCTCCTGGATGGAGTGGGAGTCCCTCTCACAAGCATCCCCCTGCTTCCTGGGCTCCTTGGTTGGGTTTCACCTTCTCGGCTGTCTAAGCTGAAAATCCTGACATTTTCTTCAGCTGCTCCTTCTGCCCCAGCACAGTGTGATTAGGAGGAGGAAGTGACCATGGATGTTTCCAGTATATCCATGTGCCTAGGACGGGAGCCGTGGTCCTGGGAGGGGCAGCAGTCTCATCAGCCTTCCGTGCTGACTATGCTGAGGACTGGGCTACACGTAGCCAGGAGACCAGGCCTGTGTGGGCAAGAAGCCAGTGGTGTGAGCCGTCAGTTTGCACAGAACACGGGTGTGGTCGGTGACACTCCCAAGACCACTTCTCCCCTCTTGAGCACATGCATTTATTGGAAACACTCACTGCCACCTTAACTGCCCTACTGGCTGTACTAGAACCACCTATCCCCTTCTAGAGCCACATACAACAAGTAAATAGAACTCGTCAGAATACCTGGCAGAAAGGTCCACAGTGTCTCCAAGTCTGCCCTTCACCAGCCTCACCTCTCTTGAGGTTCTCTGCACTTTCCTGAGCTCCCCAGGTGCCACCTTCCAGGTGCTGTGGAAGGAGGGACTCCCCTCCAGGGTGATGGCACAGCCACCATACTTCCCATAATGCTGCCTCCACAGATGTCAGAGAGCTGAGCAACTTCTGAGGTCAGCCACAGGCTGGAAGGGCCCAGTGAGACCCTGGCCCCAGAACTCTGGAAAGGTGACTGAGGATGACCCCTTCAGTTAGAGCAGCAGAGAAGGCCTCACCAGAAACAGGACTACAGACAACCAGAACGTGGATGAAGCGCGACACAGAAAAAACACCTTTCAACAGCACATCCTTTCCCCTCATCCAATGCCCGGGCACTCTCCAGTGGCGGGCACTGGTTTGCACTTTATCACAGGGTTTTGTTATGGTACAAAAAGTTCGTCTGTGGATGCAGCTGACAAAATGACGATGACAAGCAGGCCGCCTGGCCCAAGGATGGGTAGTCAGTACCCTGCCCAGGAGCCAGCTGACACGTCTGAGCAGCCAGAGAACGAATCTGAAGTCTGCTTTCCTTCTTTTCCCCGGGTGGGGAGGGGGAGGGAGTCAGGGAGAGCAAGGTTGTGTTTTGTCTCAAGCTACACAGGATATATTCCAGAAGTGTGGAAGAAAGGTAAGTAGGATGAGTGCATCATAAACAGGGGAAGAAACTGTTGCCAAATGGTATTGGAAAATAGGACAAGCAGCAGACTAGACTGCCAACACCAACTGCTAGTGTGAGCACAGTGCTATCGGAATGGGTGGCCTGGGCCACTTACTAGCTATGTAATTTTGGGCAGGTCGTTTTGTGTAAGCCTCTATTTCCTCATCTGTCAAAGGAGAGAACTAGATCCCACAGCTGTGGTGGTGTTCAAATCTCCGAAGAAAAGGCTTCTGTGAACTCTAAAAACAGAAGAAATGGTATTGCTTCCATGTGGTCAAAAACTCACTTATTAGGAGCCACAATGTTTTGCCACAAATAAGCTAGGTGGTTTTCAGAGTCTCTTGGCTTCAGTTTTCTTGTCTGTGGAGGGGGACCACACCCCAGCGCTGCTGCTGCTCTGAGCGGGACCATCAGGGCAGGGCGCGGCGACAGCCCGGACTGGGCTCTGCTGCTGCTCCACACACGGGGGCCAGTCCTTCCACAGGCCGCAGCTCGGCAACTCCTGCAAGCTGGGCTTACGAGAAGGTTCATCTCTCTGATCCTCTCCAGGATTATGGCTCATGGCTCAGAAAAATAGCCAGCTGTCAAGGATGGCAGTGACCTGGGGTCAGGGAAGACTCTCTCCCTGAAGAGGATTCTGTATCCATCCCCAAACCCCCCTGACCCTGAGCAGAGACCCAGTCGGCACTGACCTGCTGAGGCGCTAGTGAGGGGCCCATGGCCTTCCCTGAAGCCATCCAGGGGCCCCTCCTGGCCGGCAAAACAGGCCACTGCAACCTGCCCCCGCCCCCATCTCTGCCCAGCACCTGCCCAGGGCCACCTCTCTGCCCCAATGAGCCACACCTCGCCAGCTCTCCTTAAGAGTCTGGTTCCGACAGCCCCACCTCCAGTCTCAGGCCAGACAGCATGTACTCAAAAAGCATTAGCTGAATGAAAACATACACCTCAATTTCTCACTACTATTCAAACAGAAAAACCAGCCTCAAGTACAAAAGTTTCCTGTTCATACAGCCACACCTCAGCCTTCCAATCTATCTTTCCAGTTTGTTGATCTTTTCTAGTCACTCTAAAAGAAAATAGCTCTATTTTCGGCCAGGATACTGGTCTAAAATTACCTCAAGTTAAAGCCTAAATGCCAGCACAGGTCTAAGGATTGGCCTGAGCCTGTGAGCTCCAGCGACCCTCTGACAGTGAGGCCCTGGCTCGCGCTCACCCCTTCATGGGCCCCACCTGGCCCTGCCTCGCTGCCCACTGACCGCCGTCCAGTCACGCCGTGCGCCTTCCCACCTGCTTTTAATCCACAGCGCGGAGCTGCAGAAAAGGCACTGGCACTTAAAGCATCTGGTTTCAGTCTTGACTCTAGCCCTTCACTCTGAGCCTCAGTTTTTTTCATCTGTAAAATATACCACCTTGAAGAGGGCTGAGAAGTGAGGAAAATGTCCAAGCGCCTGGCACACACAAGACACCAATTTTAGCATCTTTCCCCCTGCTCTCCTTTCTTCCATCTACTGCTGCCCAGAGGCCCCCCAAATGAACTGACCTGAGGGCTGCCATTAACTACTTGGGACATTCAACTAACATGTGAATGCAGAGACTATTCTTCCATACGGCACAAAAGAATCAAGAGAAACTGAAACAGAAACCAGGCGCCTAGGCAGTGCTAAGAGAACACCCTCCCGGCAGTGGCTCGTTCCCTCACCTCCTTGGGGCCGTAAGCAGCGAAAAGATGACTCGGGACCACATCTCCAGCTAGGAGACACTAATCTGGCTCTCAAGCAGCCAGGGCAGATGGTGGCAATCCCCATGCTACCCACCAGCAGAGACAGCAGAGTTCTGCCAAGAAAGACCCTCCTTAGAAGGGCCAAGTAATTAAGGTGTTACCTACTGATTGATCAAGACAAAACAAAACCCCGAGGCCGTCCCACAGAGTTTGTTAATGAGACAAGGATCCCACTCAACAGCCACAGCAGTGGAGTGGGGTCACTTCTGCCAAAACATCACTTACACAAACATTTCTTGAATTTAAGAAAAACCTCTTGACTATACTGCAAATCTTATTTGCCTTTAGAAGCAACAGTTCTGTCTTACATGGTTTTTGTAACCTCAGAGCATCACCAAACTCAGTCTGCATCCCCCACTCAGCTCATCTCCACCAGCAGAGAGGTGCGGCCACAACCTCCAGAGGCTCCTGAGGTTCAATGCAAACACGTGAGCCAGAGACACGAAGATGCTCACCCTTCATTCAGTTCAGCCATTCATATATATTTTGGGGGGGGGGGGGGGGGCTGAAAAGCAACTTCCCAGTGTGTCCAGATAGATAAATGGGTGGGTGGACAGAGAGACAGATGTATATCAGGCAGAAGTGAGGCCTTATGTGGTGATAAGCACAGGGTTTTTTTAACCCCCAAAGTGTTGCAGGAAACTGTAAAGAGAGAAGTGCAAGAATACTATTTAGAGAAGCATCTGAGTCAACAGTCTTCTAAGCATGTTTCCCAGTCTCCTTTTTCTTTTCTGTGCTTTATGATAACTTAGTTTCTACCTACCAAATAAATGGTGAGCTCTGAATGTCAGATTCTGGGGCTAACTGTAATCACATAGTTTTTTCTTACTAATACAAAGACAGGGAACTTGGAATCAGCTGGTTGACATTGTAAGCCCAGCCCCTTTGAAGTTTCAAGCTCACCTAAACCCCAAAGCCAAGTATTATAAACTCCTGGCAGCAAACGGTTCAATGACACTACCACGCAAAAACACAAGCATCTTTATCCAGCATGGGTCTGCAGCCACCTCCCACACCATGTCTCACCAAGTGTTTGTTCTGTGTCTATCTGACCCTAAGATGCTAAGAGTCCTCTCCCAGAGCCAGGGAGCACCCCAAACCTGTGTACATGAAGCAACCCACACAGTTCCAACCGAGCAGACCATGCACCTGCTTCTCCACTCCCTGTCAGCACAGCCTGGCCAACCACCGTAAAAACAGTGAACATTTACTGAGCACTTATTATGTACCAGGTACTATTCAAAGCGCTCTGTGTTATTAACTCATTTAATTCCCAGACCCTACAGGAATTTGCTGGAGGGAGAGAAATATACTCTGGCCCAGAGTCCCACATGGTTTCTATTCTCTATTTCTAGCTGTGCTATAAAGCTTACATAACCTAATTTGCATTACAGTGCTATTTTTAAAAATCTCCAAAGATCACTGCTTCAAGCATCAATGGAAGCTGTTAGCTCTTACCTAAAATGATAATGTGGGAAAGGATATCTATTCTTACAACTAAGTCAACTTCAATCCTTGACTTAAAACAGACTTTCTGGAAGATGCTATTAGGAAAGAGAGGAACTTACATAAGAAGTACTAGCTCTGTAAATAACTGCTAGAGAGGAGCACATCAGAACTGAACTCACCTCAGTGGTAGGTAGTTTCTTGGCTCTGCAGGTGGTTACACATTTACCACCCATCTCCCTTCTCGGCCTCTAGTAACACTGAGAAATCTCTGGTCACTGAATGGCATGGCCTCAGATGGTTACAGAGAAAAGTCGGAATACAACAGAAGCTTTCTTGTTCTGGGCAACTTCACAGGGACCACCCCCACCCCAGCACCACCACCAGGCAGGCAGTGGCATACGCTGAATAGGAGTTACTTCAGAAGTTCGTTCACAGAGCAGGTGGCTTTCACATTAGGACTCTAGATTGCTAGAAATCTAACTTTGGGGGAAAGGGGAGCAAATCTCCTTAGTTCACTCCTCTCACAACTAAAGATTTACCTCCCACTGCAGTTATTAATGAAATCCAAGAAACAGAGAAATAATAATGAATGACTGATTGTAAGAGTAAAATTCCCCTCATTTGTCACTGAAAAATGATCAGTGTTTAAATTAACCACTATTATTCTTTGCTATACTATAAAAACTGCTTTAAAAGTACTGGGCTATTTATTCATTTATGTGGATAGAGGTCCACGAACATAAACCAGAGTAGGTTTCAGGCTCTCAGAACTGCCAGGGAAACATTTTAAATGAATCAGTTCCCAAATGATGTCCATTTCAATGATATCAGAGGGCCCATATTATTAAATAATTTATAAATAAACTATTAACTAAGTTAATTATCTCCTGACACTGCTAATGTGCTGTCTCCCAACCTAGATTTACAGTAGGCCCAACTCCACCAAAAAAAGATACCCTCCAACTTAAAAGGTTTCCAGTGGGTAGAGCCTGTGTCACCAGAATCCAGAGAAGAACCTAGCACGTAAGGGGCTCTTGGTTACTTGCTCAGGACTGGAATGTTCTTGGTACTAGTCACCTAGGCCTCATACAACCTTTTATAGATGCCAAAGTCACATTCAACATACATACAGATTTTGTATGGGGAAAAAGTTGTCCCAGCAACCTTCAAAGTTAGTAGTAAAAAGAAAATTGCTACTTAGAGACAAATATAAAACATAAGCTTCATTTTAATCTATATATATATATATATATGTATGTATATATCAAATACAACCTTAGCACAGAACATCTAATACAAATGAAATGCATGTATGGAATACACTAAATGAAGCACATCCTTTTCAAAATATTTGGCCTAACCTTCATATTTTTTAAATGAACCCCATGATGGTGAATAGGTGGGAAATAAATCATCTATCTAACCTGGAAAAGATGGAATTCCTTACATCTATTTGGTCTCTGCACACCAGGTATTTACTACTCTGAGTCTTGACATACTTGGTTCTGGAAATACTTAAGTTTAACTCAGTCAATTATATATTTTTCCATAGTTACCTTAATATTTTGGTTTTTTCATTTTCTATTGCTTTTTTTTTTTATGGCTTCTTGCTGCTGTTGTATTAGCGCATACAACACAGATCAGAGATATTCATTTCTCAGAGAACTCTCTGAGAAATTGGCACTTTGATCCTCAGCTTATGTTACAACTACACATAAATGGGTTCTACCAGCACTGCTACCAATCTTGCTGCTTACGAAATTCTAGCACTTTGGCTGAAAGAGTGCCCTGAAGTTAAAATCTTCTTACGTGAACACATCCCACCACCAAATTCTTTTCTTTAAACAGGTAAAGTGTGTGTAATTCGCATATATGTTATATCATAATTTCTATACACATACACACACTTAAGGTGAAATGTCTCTTGAATAGAAATTACAAGGGTATTATTAAAAAACAAAATACTGAAAATAACTATTTTACATTTAGATCATAAAAAATTTTAAAGTAATGTGATGACAGAAGACCCAAGAGATCAAATACATCATATATGATTGTCATATATGCATGTTGTGTTCATTGATTTTTAATTTTCTCTTTAATCAGAAAATAAAAGAGCTTACCTTTGTATACTGAGACCACAGCTTACAGTCACTATATCTCAGCCTATTTTATACAAGTGATATGGCTACGAAGGTCCGAGGAGAACGAGAATAAAGTGAGATAAACGTGCTGAAAACTGCTTAAAAGTATTAACCTGAAATACACAGAGGGTCCAACACCAGTTTTAAAAATACATTATTAACGAGGTATTCCCAGCTCTTCAATTAATAACGGTGACTGACTGATTCATGATTTTCAAACATTTCACCCAAATTTTAAAAAAGAAGAAAAGGCTAATACCAGCAAAATCTATCAGTGGTTTGTTCCCCAGGTTAACAATTTGAGAGCCTACAAGCGACTCCAGGAGCCCTCACGTCCCCGCACCATGCACTGCATCTAGTCAGCATGAGGTATGTCGGGAATCTATTGGACCAATTACCTTGCACAAGATATGGGGTACACCCGCAGCCTCAAGAAACATGGCTGCAGGCTACCTCCCTGGCTGGGTGCCAGCCCCCATGCAAAGAAATATGGCTTCAAGGAGGACCCCTATCTATGAGGAATTATAATAGCACTAACTGACGCAGTCAGGAATGCAACTATTCAGTTTATGTGCTAAAAAAGTTTAAAAACTGTCAGAAGATAGCACAGCTCATACACTAATTCTAAGTTCTACATTGGTCTGTAGACTTCCCTGACAAGAGACTAGGCTAGGAGGGGTTAAGTATATCCAGGTATTGCTAGGTTTCCAAAGGAAAAGTTTTCAAACAGACACCGTGGCTTTGAATAAAGTATTGCTCTTCTTTAGAATGCTCAGTCACTGCTTTCCAAAAGGAGGTGTCAAAAGTGCTGTGTCTGAAAGCTGGAAAGCCTCAGGGGGTCACATTGCTCTTAAGATCAAGACATAGAAATTGCCATTTCAAGCCAGACAACCTGATGGTTCTAGAAGTCAGAGAAGAAATCTTGAGGGCCCAAGTGAATAATAAATGGTGCGACGCTCAGAGGCTGGCAATAGGGGCTGTCAATGAAAAAACCACCTACAGTGGAGAAAAGAGCAGAGAAGCAAAACTTGGTGTTAATTTCACAGAATTTGGTGAAGCCAAAGGCTTCATTTATATTTCTCTGCTCTTTCAGCTGTAAGTGGAATTTTCATTACAAAATGAAGGGGTGGGAAGGGCAAAGGGGGGTAGGGGTGGGGGAAGGACACTTAATCCATTACAAAATTTAAACAGTTGAACTTGCATGGTTACCACTTCTAACAAAGGACTGACAGCTCGATTATTTTAAGTAAAGCAGAGAAATGTCAAAGTTTGCAGCAACTGGGCAGGTTTACAAAACATGGTTAGTAACTTCCAACAAACAACAAATTAAAAAAAAAAAAAAAGACTTGGTAGAAACCATTTGAAATGACTGCCATCATGGTGGAAAAGAGCACAGCTCCCTTTGCACCGTTACAGAGGGGTTGAGTTGCGTTACAAGTCAGCTACTTTGAAAGAATTTTCTAAAAAGAAATCTCCAGAGAGATTCCAACTTGGAATGCAAATTTGACAATCAATTTCAAATAACAATACAGCTGCAGCTGCCAATTAATAGTATTCCATAAACAAAGAGGGCTGTTGTAAATACTTAATTAAGAAAAACTGGACACTACCAGCCATGCTTTTTCTTCTCAGTGATGGCTCTGTTTCATCCATAGGTCAGCAAAACAAATCAATGAAACATGAAAACTCCCAGCTGAGATGGGCCCTCTTGTGTAGGTCTAGCCACTAATGCACAGGATGAGAATGGTAAGTTCACAGCTACTTCCAGCAAGTGATGAGGTTTTATTAAAGTATCACCCACCACTGATACAAACAAAAGGTCAAGGAGCTGAAGGAACAGACAAGCTGTGGTGTAAAAATCAGATCATCTGATTTAAGTAACACTAACATTTATTTTCAACTGCCTGTTTCATGCTTGTTTAGTGGTCCCAGAGATACTGGGTACATAAATTTGCCATATTTTGAAGCCCACTCTCAGCGATTAGCACTATTCAGCTCCAAAAGACAGAAATGAAGAAAGAAGAGGAAAGCTAATTCAAACTAAAAATGGACAATTTTAAGACACAGCAACTTGCAGATATCAACATGGGACCACAATGTTGCCTTCATGGGGGTGAGTACCTTAATGAAACCATTACCTTCTAGTAACATCATAGGCTTCCAAACGAGGTGAGAAATGCAAGTGGAAGACTTAGGCCTGCGCCCTTTACAGAACAGCACAATGTTACCGACTCATCATTTTTCACCACCTTAATCAGGTGTCTTAAAAAAGAAATGCTGACCCATGGCTGAAACCTGTCACTTTTCACAGCAGCACTCAACAAGAACTGGGACAATCGAAGAGCAAGTTTTTATGGGGACCCTGTTGCTGCTTTAGATTCTGATGTAATTGAAGAGGATAAGAGACCCTTCAATGAATTCCAGAAAAATCGCTAATCTTCTATCTACATGAAAAAAGCCAGGGAGTGAACACAGTATCTTACAGAGTGAAGAAGGCCACAAGAACGAGAGGGTCACTGATGGATTAATTTATTATTTTTTAAAACTTGGAAATTCGGAAACTAAAATAATCACATTCCTCCTTCCCCATCTCTGGGGAGTGCCATCATCTTGATAAGCATTCTCGGAGAACAGAATGACCTCCGTCAGGGGGGATGCCCCTGCACAGCAGGAGTGCAGAGGGCTCACAAAGTGAGACGGGCTCAAGCCGACCATCGCCTTTGCTTTGTTATCAGTTTGCTTACAAATGAGTGGGTTTCTAGGGCTAAGTTGTTATTAGTTTTCAATTCTTTATAATTTGATACCAAAACATATCAAAAATAATAAGCTAAAACAATATTCAAACCCATATTTTATTGGCTTTAATTACACACTTCAATATTTACAAAGTTAAAGTTTAAATGAAAAGTCTCTACTGTATTAAAAAAAATAACTACAGCCCGAATTAAAGTGCCCTGGGGCAAATACAGATCAATCAGCTAAGCGTCAGTGACTGCGTCAGGAACCAGGCAGTACTCTGTGTTACAACAAAGCAGTTTATTTGTGATCAGTGTTTGAGACTCTATACATCCTTCACAAATTTAATTTTACATAATCTGATATTCCTCTTAAAACTTAAAACTTTGAACTGCTAGACTTATTTCCCTAGAACAGAAGGGCTGGTATAAGTTATTTTCCAGAAATGAGGTACCGTTTCACAGAACTAGTTTCTTTTTTGTTTGTTTTCAAGTTTTAGAGAACTAAATTTGCATTTGTTAAAATCAAAAAGTAGGAAAAGATGTTCTTTACAAATAATTTTGATCAAGTATGTGTTCAAAGAAAGCAGGATAAAAAGGCTTTTTCGCTAACATTCTGTATGTACTGGGTTGTTGCTGGAATAGGAATTAGCTTCTGTCATTTGCTAAAAGAATGAGTAGTGGGGAACAGGATATGTTGGGAATTTCATAACGGGTAACAGAACCATTCTCTTGGGTAAACCTACAGAGAAAAGAAACGGAGAGGACTCCAAATAAGTTTAATAATCCAATAAAAATTTCAGGTTAAAAAAAAAGAATCTTACAGAGATTATCATTAACCTTTTCCAGATTAGTCAGTCAACATGTACCATTATGAGAGAGGCCCACAAACGTTGAAATTACTCTTAATAGTGTGATAATATTTTCCACTCAAAATTAAGATGGCTACATCACAGGAAGAATGATATACAAAAAGGGATTTCATTTGAGTGAGCTGCCATCAATTACAAAGCTCAAAAGCAATGCCATTGATTTATATTCTAAAGTGACTCTCATTTAGGCACATCACATATTACAGGAGAAACAGGGATTATCAAGATTCAAACACAGCTTTCTGTGCAGGCCTCAGCTCCCCAGAAAGACAGTTCCAACTGGAGTTGTGACCAGGTATTTATCTTAATGGCTACAGCCAATATTGGCATGGCAAATCTGGAAAGATTAATTACTTTCTTAATTTTGTAATTAATGAGTTCTTGTGGCCTCACAAACTTCTGCATACTCAAGCATGATTTGAAATCTGCTCCTTGTTTCTGTTCTAATGTTTAACCTATGGAGAAATCACAAAGCAGCAACAGCAGGTATCTGAGAGCACCAGATGATCAGAGGGAAACTACCCCACATGCAACAGCTTTACAAAGGCCAAAGACATGTTTACCTTACAGCCAAAATAAAGCATCGTTTTAGTAGGTTGGCATCACAGTAACATTTAAAAACCATATCTTTTATGTGAAAAATGGGGGCATTAAATTTCACCAGCTTTGGAAGTCAGTTATATGATACATGGAAGAGAGGAGCCTTCTGAAAAGCGGGCTTGGAGGCCTCAGGGTGGAAATTCAATGTTAGAGGAAAGGGAAGAACGGGAGAGAAATTAAAAAGATTGAGGAAAAACATGAATGTACCTGAGAGCCTAGATAAATAAGTGTTTTAAAGAAAAAAAAAGCTCTTGCAAACCTAAAGAACATGGGTCTTACTATGTCTAAAAGAAAGGCACCAACTTAAGGACCTGCCCTAGAAGGCAGATGCTTTGGCTTTCACACAAGACATATCACAATGAGTCCAATGAGTCAAAATGTATTTGGATAAACTGATCAGACCTAATTCACAGGAAGGAAAGGTGGTCAAGATATGCAGAAGTTGGCTGAATGGTAAAAGCAAATGGCCAAATCAAAAGAAGCTAGAGAGTCTGAATTTAAAATAAATTCTAAAAGACAGCATATTCCTGAATAAGCCCCCAGTTCCTAACCCCCTCCCAGTATCTAAGAATAAGCAGAATACGGGGAGCCCCTGGCCATAGCTCAGTATGCCAATGGAGACATGCAGGTAAGGCTGAAACTCCAGACTGTGTTCTCAACCTTAAGAGAAAAACCTACCCCAAATGTCAGTCTTCCAGCTTCCCCACATCTTTCCAGGTTGTAAATGATCAATCTTAATGGGGAAAGTGCTCAAATTGTTCACTTTCTACTTAGTTTCTACAGTTACAAAATCAAATGAAACTTCAATCTAGCAGTGTCTTAAAGACCCATAATTTCCATCCAAACAAAAATGGGAAAGCTGATGTATGAAGAGAAAAGGCACAAGGAAAGGCCTGAGGGCTCGTGTGAAGGACTAACACCACAAGCAGCAACACAGGCAAGGGCCCTCTCTTCCATGTGCACGCACGCCCAGCCTAGGGTCACAGTGGGGCACACATACTCGTGTGTACACGCATGCTCTCACACACTCTCACATGAGCACACACACACACACTGGTGCTCTTTATGCTCTAAGTGACAAACATTCTGCAGATGGCTGATTCTATACCATGTAGCACCCAAGATAGGAAAAATGTCTAAGAGAGCATATCACTGACTCCAAACCTACTGCCTCCATTGCCACATAAACCTCATTCAAAAGTTATCCAAAGGGCCACTGAGGTTCATTTCTGCATTTGCCTTTATTTTTATTTTTGAAGGGAGAGGAGATACTCCTATAATTTTCTCACATGTACTACACAGACTTTCTGCAGTAAGAACTTCGGTAACACTGCTGTGGATAACCCCACATCACTCTCTGGGACCTGTTCCCTTCACCTCCACAGCAAAATTCACAACAAAGCCTAACACTACCAATGTGAAGTGAGTACTTCCTATCCCTAACTCCAATCACCTGCAGTTCATACAGTTTCTAACCAGAAACTTAAACGTGGCTCTGTAACTGGCAGGCAGCCAAACCAGGAACTGGGTATGGCCCTTCAGTAGCCTTTGAATGGAGTGTAAGTTGGCTGTAAGAAGAACTACTTAGAATATTTAATTTCAATATGGTCAGAAACAGGCAATTAGAACAAGCAGTCCTTCAATCAGGCAAAGCAGAGAGAAGAGCAACTCCAACCAAACCAAGAACCACAAGGTTGTGGCATTTTCAAAGGGAATTTAAGTTGGGTCACTAGAATGAGTAGGTCTGAGATCCTCCAATTCATTTAAAGAAACCCTAGATACAAACTGCGCTTTGGATTGCTGTGCACAGAGGCTAAGAGGAGAAATCAGTAAGACAGTGTACATACCATAGGCAGGGGCAGCTGTGCTGTAACCATAGGGTGCTCCATAGCCTGGTGCAAAGAAGGAGAGAGCAGGTCAGTCAGGACAAAGGGCAGTCAGCACTGGCCCGATTCACAAGGAACACCCGGCCCGGCACCTTGGGCCCTGGCTGAGGACTTCTTCCAGGTGTGGCTGAACAAGAACCCTTCCCAGGATGGCCCTAGTCCACCAATCCCTCCATGCCTACAGGGATTGGAAGCTTTTTATTATGGCCTACCAGAGACTGACTACACTTACTTCTCACTACACTTACCACATTACATTGTAATTACCAACTCTACCTGCATTCCCCACTAGAATCGCAGAGACTCAAGTCTTATACATCTTTGTATCACTGGAACCTAGCAGAATGGCATGTAGTAACCACTCACTAAACATAATTTGTTCAACAAAAGAATACTCAGAACCACTCAAATCACCAATTTCTCAAAGTTGGATAATAGAAATTTCCAAGTCTTTTTTCAGAAAGCAGTAACAGAGCAGACTAAAGCCTCAAATGCCACTAAAGAGGCACACACATCAGTCTGTAGGCTTGAGGCCAAGCTCCATGCCTTGCTTATATCCTAATTTTGGGCCGCAGCACACGGTCTCTCAATAAATGTTGCTAAAATTGACATCAGCATATGGTGCCTATGAAAAAGGCTCATACTGTCAATATAAACTAGTACAAAGAACACGTTTTTGAACCAATTAGTTCTACCACTAGTTTCTCATATGTCCTTAGATATGAAACTTTTGAGCTGCCACTTTCATCTATAAAATGGGAAACCCTCCAAGCTACTTTATAGTTTTATAGGGATTAGAAATAGTACATTAACAGAAACAACAATCTTTAACCTTTTAGTAAAATGACTTTAAAATATAAATATTAAAACACTTGTGTAAATCTCTAGGAAAAACAGAATAAGGGCACAAAATCTACACAGGCCCTTCACATAGTACTCAAAACAAATCCAGACTTTTTACCTTAGAGTCCCTTTTCCTACAATCATTTCTGCTGCTAAAATGACTTTTCTTCCTTCTTCTTTAGCTGACCAACTGCAACTCATCCTTTAGGTATCACCTCCTCTGTGAAGTCCCCTAGGCTTGCGGTTCACTTGGCCCACCCCATATCATCTCTTGTATTTCAAGGTGCTTTCTCAGGTGCCTGTTCCCATCCCAAGTGACCCCAAGTATTCCCTGGGGCAGACACCAAATCTTAAGTCATCGCTGACTGCTCAGTTCCAAATCTCATTTGAGACAAAATATTCAAACATATGTTGAAAAGAAAAGTAAACTGCTTCTGGGGACTAATTGAAACATTTTCATAAGAGATAAAATTTTTCACTTTTTAGTCTACGCTTAAGTCATAAACCTAGGGGCTGTACAACTGAGTCTTTAGTGCTCAATACATCATATATTTCAAGAGGAAAAAAGACAGCTGAAATAAGCAGTAGGAAATGAACAGTAGGAAAAGTATCAGAAGTCAAAAAAGAAGTTAATGCTTAAAAAAGAATGCTGTATATCAAATTTATTCCAGGAAAAGGCAGTTGGTTGGCAAAGGTTATAGTTTCAAAGGCTTTACTAAAATAAAACCTCCTTAAAGAGAGAAACTACAACTGCTGAGCTGGCCAGTAGTTGTACCCCAATACAGGACACTGGGTTCTAATCCTGACTTCCCGTCCCACTAAGCAAGGTGACTTTGAATTGCACGTGCTATTTAATATTTACCCTCTCAGAGCCTCAGTCTTCTGCAGAAACTGAGAGCAGAGTAATGCATTTAATAACATATATAAAAATATTACAGTCCCTGCTGCAAGGAATACGCTCTGCAAAAGGCATATAACCTGCTGCAAGGAATATGCTCTGCAAAAGGCATATAATCATAATCTAATCTGACCTCATCTGAATGTTCTCTAGGCTATAAAAGAACTTCCTTTTGAAAGCCTTCAGGAGACAGGTCTTTCGCAGAGGTCAGGGCAATAATGTAAGAGAGAAGCTACTAGGATTCCCTCACAATCACTGCTACTAGCTGATGGTGATTGGCCACCTGAGTGAGGAGAACATCTCATGACCCAGCAGCTGGACACACCTGGATAGGCACATCACCAAAGGCAAGACAGTTCACCTCAACAGGCTGCCTACTACTGTTTAATGAAAGCCGCTTCCTTTAACAAGACATTAAATGAGGCAAAAAAAAAATTTTAAATTTCCATAAAATAGTGAGATGTACAGAAAAAGGTCTTAATTTTGGACACACAAACTGTTATCAAACTGTAACCACCCTCCTTCCTCCCCTGGTCCCACTGCTACTGGTCTTTCAGCATCTGTCTCTTTCAATGGCACCACCTCCAACCTACCTCCTCCAGCTGAAGATCCTGGAGGGACACTTGAAATCTCACTTTGTTTCATTCTCCGCAGTAAACCAATCACTTGCTTCTCAAGTTGTTCCATCTGCTCACTTCCTGCCACCCATCTACTTCCCTACACCCACAGGAGGTACCTCCACTGCCTCCTGTCCAGGCTCTGAGTTTACAAAAACCTTCTACTGTGTTTTGGCATGCTAACTTCTGCCCCTACAAGTCATTCTTCATACAACAGAGAGTGATTTTTACAAATAAAGTCTGATTTCATCACTTCTCTTAGAAAGAACCCTCCACGACTTCCCACCGCACTTAGGTTCTAAGACCAAAATCCAAACCAAGACCTCCAGGACTGGGATTGAACATCCAGCTTCAGCTCAAATCCAACCTACCCCTTCCCTGGGCTCTCCACACTATAGACTGGTCTCTTCCTAGTTCTTCAAATGAGTGAAGTCCCCTCCCATCAGCAACACAGAGAGCTGAAGTGCTGTTCCTTCTGCAGGCAGTGCTCTTCCGTCTGAATCTGCTCTAACACCTACGTATTCTTCAACGCTCAGTTCCAGTGTCACGTCTTCAGGAACACCTTTGAGTCCCCAGCAGACTAAACCAGGTTTCCCTGTCACGTTCCCTCACAGCACTGTGCCCTCCTCCTTTCTCACAGCAGCTCAGTCGGTCATGAGCAGTGTATCTCCCCTTCATGCCAAAGACTGCAGGAGAACACAATGCCATGTCTACTCATGTCAAAGCAAGCACACGGTATCTGAATGAGAGAGTACATTCTTTATATGACACATTTTTGAGCTATGCCCCGAGTGGGATCAACTTCTAGAAGCTTAACTCCAAAGCCACATTATCCACAAAACTTCCAAAAAAGCCTATTCTAATTCTTTTGGGGGGGGGGGGGGGGGCAGGAATAACCCACAACCTAAGTGAACTTCTTATGAGTGTCACACCGTTACGCAAAATATGACAAGACCCAATCTTTACGACAATATATCTGAACAACGACTACAAGAGGTTTACGTGTAGTTCAAAGTTCCATGCTTGCACGATTACAGGAATTTAACTTCAATGAGACAGCTATACAGCTACTGCTAAAATGATACAAAGATTGGAACAGAAGACAGAAAGAAGGCTTCTTTCCCCATCTTCTTCAAGCTATGCTGTGAAATGGAAAGAATACAAACTTTGGAACTAGAAACTCTTACATTCAGATCTCTGCTCTGCTGTTTACAAGATGTCTCTCACTTGAGCTCAGCCTTACCTCCCTAAACTTTAGTTTTTCCTCACCTGGAAAAAAACAGAAATAATTTCTACTTGAGGAAACACTGTGAAGACTAAAATCAAGTAAGTGAAATCATTTATATGTAAGTATACTCAACACTGAATAAGTAAGCTCCCCCTTTCTTTTTTATGTAATTCTTCAGCCTTTGATGATTCACCAGACATTGAGTTAAAGAAATGCAGCATCTTACCAATCGTTTTTCTCACCCGTGATACCCAGCCTGTCATCTGTGTCCCTAATAAATACACCCTGCTCAGGTATCCAAACTCCCCAGTGTGTGGAATATCTCTGAACTTTCTCACTGTCAAAATATTCTTCATCTGTCACCTCCCTCCAAAAGGCCTCTAGTCATTCAACAGATTCCAGGAGAAAACCTAGTAACATTCTATAGATTCTCTTCTTTTAAATTTCAGTGCACACGCATCCTATACCTCCAGAAACCCTGTGTAACCCTGGAAAATAAAGGAGACACTATTCTTGGAAACTGTGGCCCAGAAAAGGAGGCAGACATTTCTCAGGTTGTACTATACCTGGAGCTATGTAGCCGGGAGCAGCTGTGGCCCCAACAAAAGCCCCCCTTGTTAGAGTTCCTCTTCCTCTGCCCCGAACAGCTTGGACTGCTGCGGACACAGCTGTATTCACAACACCCTTTGCCTGTTAAAAATAACACATTTCATTACTGAGAGCAATAAGATCATCTCATCAACTCTGTAATGTATATAACCTCTATGAGAAACTTGAGCCTGTACATGACACAAGTCATCTATGACTTTGATGACTTCAGTTTATCATCTGTAAAATGAGAATGACATATCACAGACTTGTTCCAGAAAACATGCCGACATACAGAAGTATGCTGGGCGCCCCTGGTGACTCAAACAGTAAAGAATCTGCCTGCAGGAAACCCAGGTTCCATCCCTGGATCAGGAAGCTCCCCTGGAGAAGAAAATGGCAATCCACTCCAGTATTCTTGCCTGGAGAATCCCACAGACAGAGGCTCATGGGAGGCTGGAGTCCATGGGGTTGCAGAGTTGGACACGACTGAGCAAATAACACACACACACAGAAGTATGCAGATAAAGTGTTCTTTTCACTTGAAGGTTATCCAGAAACAGTTCATTATCCAGAAACAGTTCGTTTTCTACACACACATTTCAGCAGTCAGATTACATCCAAAGTCATTTTAGGTCTAAGTAATTACAGGCACCTGATATCTAGGTTCAAAATCCACTGAATTCTCTTCCAACAAACAAAAAAACACAGCAAACCACCTACAACTACCTATGAACCTGAGTCAGGTTTAAAAAGAAAGAGGTGGGGGAAGATTAAGGCAGGAAGACCAAAGATGTGGATGCAAGTCCCTGCTCTAAGTAGCTGAGACCTCAGGAAGCAGATTGGGCTGGGAGTATGGAGGGGGGGGGGGGGGGGGTCGTCCTGTGTGTGTCTCTGTATGTGTGTCTGTATATATCACCTCTGAAGTTCCTTCTTGCTCTAAAATGCCACAGGGCTCTGGTAAAGTCACAGAATCTCTATGGGAGTCTCCTCCCTAATTGTAAAATGGGGATTATGACATATACTTTGTTTTCCTTACTACAGAGTAGAAAGAGCAACTGAGAAAACAGATATAAAACTGAAAAGTAGACCAGGAGTAACAGTATACAGGAATGCAAAAACATTCCTTTCCAAAACTGAAATTTTAAGAAATAAGAAAACATCTAGATTTAAATTAAATATTATGTTTACTTTTTAATATCATAATGCAACAAAAACTCAAGCTCAGGAAACTTAAGAAACTCGTAACATTCCCTGCTATAACCAAGCTGCAGGGAAGGAGGTTCAGAGCCTCAAAAGCGTTACAGAGCAAGTCAGCAGCACTACACACAACTAAACAGTCAGTGCATACACATGTTTATCTCTCACTGAAAAATCACCAGCTTTTTTCCTCCTAGGATAGCCTCTATCACTAGTATGACTGAATAGAAGATAGCTTCAAGGTCAAATGTATCATGAACAGAGAACAGCCATCTTCCCTTCTGGCTGAAAAAAAATCCAACCCACAAATCCAAAATAGACTGTTTCTTGGCTGTCAAGCACATTGAACACATGAGTTTTATAGCTTCTAGTATGGAAAATTTCTAAAAATGAGTGAACTTCATGCAGACTTTTTTTTTTTTTTTAAACACAGCTTAGTCAAATGCAGTCATCAGGAATTAGCAATCTGGCGGCAGCACAGTGACTCCACACAAATCAAACTCCTGTCTCCTAAAACCAAACCTAACTACCTAATAGGTTATCTGCACAGACGCTTTATAAACACTAAAATTAACTGACCATATACAAGATGTAATGCACAAGAAAAACACACCAAAACAAACAAGGTCACAATTATCTTTCTACTAATTTAGAACATCTTATAAAAGATTTTATTTTATTTTTTAGAACACCTTATAAAAGATTTTAAAAAAAGAAAATCCATTTATCCTTTCTCTACACGTGTACCAATGCAATTTAAATGCTTTATTTGTATTTCATCTCAGTAACAGTTTTGTTTATATTTTGAATTCTAGAATATAAGCAGTGCTTATTATAGTAAATACAAAAAATGTAAATGAACACAAAACGTATTTCTAAGATGTATATCATATACAATAGGAGCATGCCCATGGTCTTTGGAACGAGAAGAATCAGGCTTCAAAGGGAACCTTTACTGTCAACTGTGTTACTACAAGCAGTGCCAATGCGTTCAAAGTGTTCTACTGTGATCTGTTCTTCCCTGTTAACAATGGACTTTGCATATGCATACTTAACACAGAATCTTAAGTAATCTATGCTTCCTTCTATTGGTCCAAAGATTTTTACTTGACTTTTCCCTATCACATAATATACTCAGATATTATTATACCAGTATTCTCCACCAGAGAGAGAATGTATCTTATAGTTACTCACATGTCTCTTTTCCCCTCACAATCATGCACATGGTGTATGTCTAGAAAATATTTTTGAATATGTAAATGAATGAATGGGAGAATCTGTTATTTAAAAGTGTGCGATTAGGAAGCCATCTTTTCTTACTGTGATCCTTGCTACAATCCTGGCCCTTTTGCAGCTCTGACATTTCCAATGTCAGTAACGAACAAAAGCAACACAGGGTCAATTTCTACTGTGCTGCCCTCAAAGAAACCCCAAACTAAACAATGTAAAAGGACAAAACTGGAAAGGAAAAAGAAGAGCAACTGCAGACTGGGATGAGAATAAGCCCAACACTCTTGGCAGCTTCCCTAAACAAACGCAGGATCTCATTAGAGTCCCAGCCCTTCAACACTGCTTCATCAAGAGCACTTGAAGCCCGAATATTTAAAACCAACAGTCTCTTTTTAACATAGGATTTGCCTGAAAGACCACAAAACAGGGGACCAGTAATCATATTTCTATTATGCATGATCAACCCAACAGAAAAAGTTGCCAAGTCCAAGCAGGAAAAATAAATAACTTCAGAAAAATCTCAAGTGGCACAAAGATATGAAAGGAGATTTCACTCTGGTGGTATCTTTCCAAGGTTTAATGCTTAACTCATACCTGAGGGATAACCTTCTTTTTCTTATTATTTGCTGCATTGGGTCCAGAAAACAGCTTCTCCAGGGCAGCTAAAGCTGCACTTGCCTTTGCCACTTTCTTATTTGGACCTGCACCTCTGAATTTTTGTCCATCCACTTCTACCTAAAATCAAGAACAACACTGCAATTATCCCATGCAATTCCTCTATGTAGTTTTAATTTAAATGTATCATAACACAGGAAACAAAAACACCAAAAGTCAAATAGTGCCATAAGAACTGAGTCTAACTCTTTTTTTAAAAGTAAGCTCAGGACAACCTATGTCTTTGAGGGGAAAAATAAGGTTGGCTTGTATCTAGGTACATACCTCCATCACAAAGCGTTTGTCATGGCTTCCACCAGTCTCCGAGATGAGTTCATACTTGAGACCTCTTCTTTTTTCATTGAGCTCCATTACAGGATTTTTGCCACTTGCTGTGAGGATAGGGCCCTGAGTTCTTACCTAAAAGAAGGTTCAATCAAGGAAAATTTTAAAGTATTAGATTTCTTATTAATACAAGTATACTATATCTCTACTGAAAAAGAGGCTCAAAAATTTAAAGCATTTGGCAGCTAGGATGCATGATTACTTCTATGTATGAATGACAAAACGTCTCTAAAGGGACAGAAATCCTACACACAGTGAACACTGCAGGAAGTCATCTCGCCAGCCTGTCATGGAAGCAAGGAGATCTCCACAGATCAGGATTCAAGACCAGTGGAGCCTGGCCATTACCTGACACTCCAGGGTCTGATCTAGTGAGTTCAAGATCTAAGAACAAAACTATAAATGACTGACAAGGTAGAGTAAATGGAGAAGAGTAAAGATTCACATTCAATGTTTTTTACCTTTAGGATTAGGCTTAAACAGCTCTCAATTTGGGAGATGGAAAGAAAATGTGCCTATACACCTCTCAGTCTCTAAAGAGATTTGAGGGAACCCACACTAAAAACAGCAGGCTACAGACTATGAATTCCTAAATTTAAAAATAATGAAAGCAGTCATTCCCTGCCCTCTAGGGTCTAGAGCACAGTGGAAGGGACTGGTCTAATGACTATGAAATAATGTGCACCATAGAGCAGGGGTATGTCATGGAAACACAGTACAAGTACTCGTTTTCCAGGGCAAACAGGGCAGTTTGCCTAGAAGCGACAGACAAAACTGGTCTCAAAGGTAAGGAGTACCAGACCATGATAAGGAGGAAACAAGGAGAAGGCATTCTGGACAGAAGAAACAGCCATGCAAAAGCCCAGGAGAAGGAAAGAATATTTGTCTGGGAAACGTAAGTAAATTCTATTTGGCTATATTAAGGGAGTGAAGAGACAAAGGCAGAACCAGATTAGAAACACCCTTGATGGAGCCAAGCCATAAAGGACTTCAAATGTCATGCAAATGAGCTTCCACCTTATTATGGACAACAGAGAGCCACTGGAGAATTTAAATCTGAAAAGCAGAGACATTACTTTGCTGACAAAGGTCCATATAGTCAAAGCTATGAGTTGGTTCATTTTCATATGCCCTGTACTATCAACCACAGTACCAAGTACAGAACAGATGATAAATAAGTATGTATTTACTAGTAAATCTCTCTATCTTAAACTAATCCTCTTGATGTATCAGTGAGAAATCTTTTTCTGATTTTATATTTGCCCATCTTTAATTTAGTGGACAGTAATGACAAATCTAGACAGCATATTAAAAAGCAGAGACATCACTTTGCCCACAAAGGTCACATACAGTTAAGTTTATGGTTTTTCCAGTAGTCACGTAAGGTTGTGAGAGCTGGACCATAAAGAAGGCTGAGCATCGAAGAACTGATGCTTTCAAACTATGGTGTTAGAGGACTCTTGAGAGTCCGCTGGACTGCAAGGAGATCAAACTAATCAATCCTAAAGGAAGTCAATCCTGAATATTCATTGGAAGGACTATGCTGAGGCTGAAGCTCCGATACTTTGGCCACCTGATGTGAAGAGCCAACTCACTGGAAAAGACCCTGATGCTAGCAAAGACAGAAGACAGGAGGAGAAAGGGACAGAAGATGAGATGGTTGGACGGCATCACCTACTCAATGGATGCGAGTCTGAGCAAGCTCTGGAAGATGGTGAAGGACAGGGAAGCCTGGCATACTGCAGTCTATGGGGTCTCAAAGAGACAAAATCATGATTAAATTAGAAAACAGCTCTAGGAGTGGTAGAAAGAATTGACACAAAGATAAACTAGCAGTGAGGAAGAGAAGTAATTCATGTAAGAGTGCGAAGGTTAGGACTGAAAATAAATCACAAAATACCACTTAACTACAATTTTAGAAAAACCCAATGAACACTTTTTGAGGTTAGAGATCATGTCTATTCTGCTACAGTAATTGCTAAAGAAATGGTGAACAATGAGTATATATAATAGGATTTTAATGTATATAAACCTAACGGACAGCAAGATTCTCTTAAAATACTCTATGCTTATTTAATAAGTAGTTGATATTATCAAAGTGGAACACTGGACAATTTTTAAAGATAATGTTGATAAACATTCCTGAATCATTTTGTTAAAAACATTATTTCTTGAAGAATTTTTAATAATCTACATATTTTAAAGTTTCAAAGCAAATTTCTGGTCTCCATCTTTTAAAGGTAATGAGTAATTTTTGAAACTATTCTATGTGGTAATCACTCTCTGCTTTCAAACCCGAAATCACTTTTTTAAAACATTTAATTATTTTTTTATTTGGCTGTACTGGATCTTAGTTGCAGCAGGCAAGATCTTGTTCCCTGACCAGGGGTTGAACCCAGGCCCCCTGCACTGGGAACGTGGAGTTTTAGTCATTGGACCAACAGGGAAGTCCCCTGAAATCACTTCTATAAAAATGAGTCAAGAATGAAAGTTTTCTCCCCTCTCCATTACTACATTTTACGAAAGCAAAGCAGAGATGGATTCACTACCAGAACTTCCATACACTGTCCTAACTGCTGCAAATTCAGCCCACAGTGCTCTGCTCTCTTAATTTCCTTTGAACTTAATAGTCTGAACCTTATCATTAATGAGCTCTTTTTCTCTTAGTGAGCTTCCCAGGTGTGCTGTGGTAAAGAACCCACATGCCAATGCAGGAGGCATAAGACACTTGCATTCAATCCCTGGAAGATCCCCTGGAAGAGGACATGGCAATCCATTCCAGTATTCTTGCTGGAGAATCCCAAGAACAGAGGAGCCTGATAGGCTACAATCCATGGGGTCACAAAGAGTCAGACACTAGTTATTTATAACACTGCCAGCAAACCATCTTTGCCTGCCTGTGACAACCACTTATGAATGACTGGTGCTCTCCAAAGGCAGGTGCCATGGCTTCTATCCACCACACCACAAGAGGAATCAGGAATGGCTTTCACAGGCCTCAGCCCTAATCAGGTCCCTCCATACAGGCCTAACTGGTACTTCTCAGACATCTACTTTCACAATTCCAGATCTCTGGTGGCCCAGATGGTAAAGAATTTGCCTGCTGTGCAGGAGATCGGGAGACCTGGGTTCGATCCCTGGGTCAGGAAGATCCCCTGTAGAAGGGAATGGCTACCCACTCTAGTATTCTTGCCTAGAGAATTCCATGGACAGAGAAGCCTGGCAGGCTACAGTCCATGGGGGTCACAAAGAATCGGACACCACTGAGCGACTAATAAATACTTTCACTTCCTTGGCCCAGAATGTCTTCTTTCCATCTCTTCCCCACAGAGCAAAATCCTCTTCGTTATCTCAAATCAAGCTCATATATTACTCTAATTTTACATGTGTGTATGTTTCATTTTGTAATCATGGTGCTTCTCACATTATATCATAATAATCACTATCTTTTGCCCTTCTATCCTCAGAATACTTTAAGACTCTGGACACAATTTCTATAGCATCTAGTAATACGCAGACACTAAAAGGAGTTTAGTATCTTCCCTCATAGCTCACTGGCTAAAGAATCTGCCTGAAAGGCAGGACACCTGGGTTTGACTCCCAGGTTGGGACAACCCTCTGGAGAAGGAAATGGCAACCCACTCCAGTATTCTTGCCTGGAGAATTCCATGAACAGAGAAGTCTAGCGGGTTATAGTCCATGGGGATCTCAAGAGTTGGACACGACCAAGTGACTAAACCACCACCAAAAGGAGTTTAGTACTAAGTCCTTGATAAATATTCATTCTTACAAATGACAAACTGAAAAAAAAAATTTCATATAAGCTCTTGCTATTACTTTAAAGTTAATTTTCCTTATGTAAAATGCCACAAGCAATGGCCCCATGAATTTCCAATTAAGCCATGTATCATTTCTACTTGGATTTTTGTCCAATTCTATTATCTGTGACAATGTGTCATATGTCAGGACTACTCAAGAGTCTGAGGAACAACCCTCTTTAGGGCTGGACCAACTCAATGATGACCTGACCCCCTCAGCTTAGAACAAATTTCAAATAATCCTAGATTTCCCTCATTAGCTTTTGTTTTAAGTTTATAAACATACATAAATACATTCATTCATTCACTGATAGCCAAGCAGCTTGCAAGATCTTAGCTCCCCTACCAGAGACAGAACCCAGGGACCAGAGACTGAACCTAGGTCCCTGCAGTGGAAGTATGGGGTCCTATCTACTGGACCAGGGAATTCCCTAGATCTTTTTGCTTTTCACACTTCAGTTATTGTTGACATTCTTCAGTTCAGTCACTCAGTCATGTCCAACTCTGCGACCCCACGAACTGCAGCACGCCAGGCCTCCCTGTCCAACACCAACCCCCAGAGCCCACCCAAACTCCTGTCCATTGAGTGGGTGATGCCATCCAATCATCTCATCCTCTGTCATCCCCTTCTCCTCCTGCCCTCAATCTTTCCCAGCATCAGGGTCTTTTCCAATCAGTCAGTTCTTCGCACGAGGTGGCCAAAGTATTGGAGTTTCAGCTTCAACATCAGACCCCTCAATGAACACCCAGGACTGATCTCCTTTAGGATGGACTGGTTGGATCTCTGGTGGGACTCTCTCAAGAATCTTTTAAAATACCACACTTCAAAAGCATCAATTCTTCGGCGCTCTGCTTTCTTTATAGTCCAACTCTCACATCCATACATGACTACTGGAAAAACCAAAGCCTTGACTAGACAGACCTTGTCGGCAAAGCAATGTCTCTGCTTTTTAATATGCTGTCTAGGTTGGTGATAACTTTCCTTCTAAGGAGTAAGCATCTTTTAATTCATGGCTGCAATCACCATCTGCAGTGATTTTGGAACCCAAAAAAATAAAGTCAGTCCCTCTTTCCACTGTTTCCCCATTTATTTGCCATGAAGTGATGGGACCAGATGCCATGATCTTATTTTTCTGAATGCTGAACTTTAAGCCAACTTTTTCACTCTCCTCTTTCACTTTCATCAAGGGGCTCTTTAGCTCCTCTTCACTTTCTGCCATAACGGTGGTGTCATCTACATATCTGAGGTTATTGATATTTCTCCCGGCAATCTTGATTCCAGCTTGTGCTTCCGCCAGCCCAGCATTTCTCATGATGTACTCTGCATATAAGTTAAATAAGCAGGGTGACAACAGCCAGCATTGACGTATTCCTTTCCTGATTTGGATCCAGTCTATTGTTCCACGTCCAGTTCTAACTGTTGCTTCCTGACCTGCATACAGATTTCTCAAGAGGCAGGTCAGGTGGTCTGGTATTCCCATCTCTTTCAGAATTTTCCACAGTTTATTGTGATCCACACAGTCAAAGGTTTTGGCATAGTCAATAAAGCAGAAGTAGATGTTTTTCTGGACCTCTCTTGCTTTTTCGATGATCCAACGGATGTTGGCAATTTGATCTCTGGTTCCTCTGCCTTTTTTAAAACCAACTTGAACATCTGGAAGTTCACGGTTCACGTATTGCTGAAGCCTGGCTTGGAGAATTTTGAGCATTGACATTCTTGATACACTGTAATTGTGAGATGCTGGACGTGACTCCCATGGCCAGCAAAAGAGAAACGCTAGTTAAACTAGGATACATCCACATGTTGTACAGTACACAGTTATGCTTACAAATATTTTTAGAGTTAAGTGAAAAAAACAAGACGTAAAATTGTATGAACGTATGATTACCTTCGTAAAAAAATAACCAAAGAAAAAAGGCTGGATAGAAATAAACAAAAATATTAATAATGGCTACCTCTTAAATACATACACCTGTATATGCTTTTGATTATCTCATTGGTACTTCTCCAGACCACTCAAATATTTGACATTAAACATACTTTTTTTTTCTAAGAAAAAAATATACATGTATACCTCTAAGGTACTGGAGGTTTCAGTTGTAGAATTTCCAGTATTATTGCTTGAGTTTGAAGACACTGTTTCATTTTTGCCTTCGTTATCTGACTTTTCATCGGAACTCATACATTCAATATCTGCGTCAAAGCCCGTTGGATATCCCATTGCCTGCAGTACCTGTAAAAATTACATTAAGATTCAGTTTTATTCAAATACCAGACACCTCAGAGAATAGACGAAATACTGAGAACAATAGTTTCAATCCCAAAGCATCTGAATCCATGAAACACCTTGCAGGAAAAGCAAGATGTTGCTCATCTACAAATCCTTAGTTAAACAAGCTTTACCTACCAGGGTATCACCACAAAAAAATGGAGGAAACCTCCTCAGAGTAACTAGGTTTAAATAACAGATAACAGAAATGCAAACCTGAGGCTACTCCAAGTTCACTTAATTTGGAGATGAGGACTTCTCTGATGGCACAGTGGATAAGAATCCACCTGCCAGTGCAGGGGACATGAGTTCTATTCGAGGTCCAGGAAGATTCCACATGCCAAGGAGCAATTAGGCCTGTGTTCCACAACTACTGAGCCCGTGCACTGCAACTAATGAAGCCCACATACCTAGATCCTGTGGTCCACAAGAGAAGCGACCCAAATGAGAAGCTTGCTCACTGAAGTGAAGAGTAGCCCCCACTCACCACAACTAGAGAAAGTCCACACAAAGCAATGAAGATGGTGTGCAACCAAAAATTAATAAAGTAGATAAATAACTTGGAAATGAGAGATGGAGAAACAGAATAGCCAAATTCAGCCGATGAGGCGGCAGTAATTAAAACTAGAGTGACACACTATGAAAAGTACACTGGGCTAGAAAGGAAAAAACCTGATGGTCTAACCCTTTTTCTCCTCTGATCCTCAATTTTCTAATTTGCAAAACAGGAAGGCTGATTAACTGACCTAAGTTTTATGACTCAATCCAATACAGGAAATTAGCACAGAAAGGAAATCAAGACATTTTCTTTACCTTAGAACCAGTTTGCCTGTTACAAAATTACAGCTATAGTTTCTTACTATCCATTCCTTTGGCTTTCAACTTAAAGCATAATCAAGACTTGAAAGCAAAGATTCAGTCCTTGGGTTTATCCTCTACTGCTGAGTGAACCGGGAACAGGTCTAGGCGTGTATCTCCGCCCTGTCTATCAAGGAGTGATTACTCTATGGCTCCCTCCCATGTTGACTCTTGTGTATTTCCACTCATGTTTGGCACTTCTCATCTTTTTTAAAATAGTTTTCCAAACAGTGTATGTGTGTGCATGTCTATGTTTGCAAGCCTTTTAAAACCTCCTTCCAGGTTAAACTGCTTTAGATGTTTGCAAAAGAATATATCCACGAGCACATATTTATAAGCCTCTTTCAAACAGGCTGACATTGAGTTGTCAGTCACTGACTTAAAGGTCTGGACCAATGTTAGGTTCCTAAAGATGCCTGTATTTGTCTCAGCTTTTGAGTATGGTTTAAGTTGCCTGAGTGTAAAAGCAATGGCATATTTCTTTATAACCCCAATTATACCTAACAGCTTTCTCAAAAACCTGTAATGGCCACCACACAAATGAGAAAGACGTCAAACAGCCTAGTGTTTATAAATGATGACATCTTGTACAAAGATTTTGCTAACATAAATGAAATTACACTAAACAAAAAATGGGCAGAAGTAGAATTCTAAACCAAGAGAACATGAAATTAATTCACCCAGTTCATATGGAGAACTTGGCATTCTGTTGAACATTTTAAATTGTAAATAAATTCTCTGTATTCAATGGGAGTAAGGCCAAAAATACTTTAACATCGTAAGTACTAAAAGGACTCAAATAGTACTTCGCACTAAGTACACTAACATCACTTGGTTGTATCCTCACCAGTATTTGTAAAGAAAACACCTTCTCTACTGCCCAAGTCCTGCAAATATGCTCTCCCTGAGAAATCCCATCTCTGAAAGAGCAGTTATCAGTCTGGAATTAAAACCAGGTTAACACAGGTTGCAAGTCAAAAGCCAAGAGTCCCAAAGAAATTTGATTTGTTTACTCCAATAAAAACTAAAGACACGTAGTTTCTCCAAATTTAATACAGACAGTTAAAAGAGAATAATGTAAATTATTTAACACCACTTCTCTGCCATTTTTTCACATATCAGATTCATTTATTGTTTTTGTAGCAACATACTTCAATACACTTATAAATATTTCATATAAACTGATGGATAATCTCAAAGGATATTACAAATGTACTTACAACACAGCACAACAAAAACATTTTCAAATTAAGTCATATTTCTACGAACACATATTCTGAAATTATTAACTAGCATAAGCCACAAAAGTAAAAAAAAAAAAGTATGGAGTTCTTAGAACTCTAGAACCAATTTGTTTGGAATCAGCATTAAGGTCAAAAAAACTGGTATACCAAAGAAAAGTGAGTTTCAAATGTCTGGCAAACAAATCCAACCTAATAAACAAATCAATTGAGCTGAAAAATCACAAGATGATCCCTGGAAGAAAATCCAGGGTAATCAGGCCTCTTCTCTTCTGGCAGGGGGTTAAGGCTGAGACAGTTGATACCCTCAAAGATGAGGGACACCAGTGAAAACATGAAATACCCTATCCATGGCTCTCCACTCAAGAGAAAGTCATACTCATGGCTTACGATAGTAGAGAGCTGATGTCTCGAGAACTTCTGCAGAGGGGCTTTATTCCTTTTCCCCTTTACCTGATCTTTTCTCTACAATTACTAAGATTCTTTTCGTGGAATATGACTGATTATGTCTTTAAAGATGTCCTTTGTAAGGGACTGTCAGGAAAAAGGACGAGAGGGGTAAAGGGAAGACTGGCCAATAATCTTCATTACTTTACGGTATGTGCTGCTAGGCAGCCAGGCTCCTTAAGCAAAACTGGTTTCTTCTTGTCTCATTTTGATTTCACTGCTGTTCTTAACAGGTACAGAAGTCTACCAAGTTACTGACTAAAGAACACAAGGATTTTTATCTAGTGGGACCTACTTTTATAAACACATTACATATAAAACACACTCCCAAACTCACTTATAACAGACTCTATAATGTAATATAACCTTTACAGAAGGCAATTTAGCAATATATGCCTGACATCTAATAAGAAATCCTAATCCTTTGCTAAAGGCAAGGGAGAAAAGGAAAGATATACCCATTTGAATGCAAGTTCCAGAGAACAGCAAGGAGAGATAAGAAAGCCTTCCTCAGTGATCAGTGCAAAGAAACAGAGGAAAACAATAGAATGGGAAAGACTAGAGATCTCTTGAAGAAAATCAGAGATACCAAGGGAACATTTCATGCAAAGATGAGCACAATAAAGGACAGAAATTATAATGACCTAACAGAAGCAGAAGATATTAAGAAGAGGTGGCAAGAATACACAGAAGAACTATACAAAAAAGATCTTCATGACCCAAATAACAATGGTGTCATCACTCACCTAGAGCCAGACAACCTGGAATGCGAAATAAAGTGGGCCTTAGGAAACATCACTACGAACAAAACTAGTGCACGTGATGGAATTCCAGCTGAGCTATTTCAAATCCTAAAAGATGATGCTGTGAAAGTGCTGTACTCAATATGCCAGCAAATTTGGAAAACTCAGCAATTGGCCACGGGACTGGAAAAGGTCAGTTTTCATTCCAATTCCAAAGAAAGGCAATGTCAAAGAATGTTCAAACTACCACACAATTGCATTCATCTCACAAGCTAGCAAAGTAATGCTCAAAATTCCCAAACCAAGATTCAACAGTACATGAACCATGAACTTCTAGATGTTCAAGAGGTATTTAGAAAAGGCAGAGGAACCAGAGATCAAATTGCCAACATCCATTGGATCATAGAAAAATAAAAGAGTTTCAGGAAAACATCTGCTTTATTGACTATGCCAAAGCCTTTCACTGTGTGGATCACAACAAACTATGGAAAATTCTTCAAGAGATGGGAATACCAGACCGCCTTGTCTGCCTCCTGAGAAATCTGTATGCAGGTCAAGAAGCAACAGTTAGAATTGGACATGGAACATCAGACTGGCTCCAAATTGGGAAAGGAGTACATCAAGGCTGTATATTGTCACCCTGCTTATTTAACTTCTATGCGGAGTACATCATGCGAAACGGCAGGCTGGATGAAGCACAAGCTGGAATCAAGACTGCCGGGAGAAATATCAATAACCTTAGATATGCAGATGATACCACACTTAGGGCAGAAAGCAAAGAACTAAAGAGTCTCTTGATGAAAAGTGAAAGAGGAGAGTGAAAACTTTAGCTTAAAACTCAACATTCAGAAAACTAAGATCATGGCACCCAGTCCCATCATGTCATGGCAAACAGATGGGGAAAGAATGGAAACAGTGAGAGACTATTTTGGGGGGCTCCAAAGTCACTGCAGATGGTGATTGCAGGCATGGAATTAAAAGACACTTGCTCCATGGAAGAAAAGCTGTGACCAACCTAGACAGTGTACTAAAAAGCAGAGACATTACTTTGCCAACAAAGGTCCATCTAGTCAAAGCTATGGTTTTTCCAGCAGTCATGTATGGATGTGAGAGTTGGACCATAAAGAAAGCTGAACGCCAAGAGAATTGATGCTTTTGAACTGTGGTGTTGGAGAAGACTCTTGAGAGTCCCTTGGACTACAAGGAGATCCAACCAGTCCATCCTAAAGGAAATCAGTCCTGAATATTTATTGGAAGGACTGATGCTGAAGCCGAAACTTCAATACTCTGGCCACCGGATGCAAAGAACCAACTCATTGAAAAGACCCTGATGCTGGGCAAGATTGAAGGCAGGAGAAGAAGGGGACGATAGAAGATGAGATGATTGCATGGCATCACCAACACGATGGACATGAGTCTGAACAAGCTCTGGGAGTTGATGATAGACAGGGAAGCCTGGTGTGCTGCAGTTCATGGGGTCGCAAAGAGTCAGACATGACTGAGCTACTGAACTGAATACATGTTTAATGAATTAACAGATCACTCAAATGTGCTTTCTTCTTCTTTACTTATTTTTGGCTCTGATGGGTCTTTGTTGCTGTGTGGGCTCTTCTCCAGTGTTGTGAGTAGGAGCTACTCTCTACCTATGGTGTGTGGCCCTCTCATTGCAGTGCTTTCTCTTGTTGTAGAACATGGGCCCTAGGGGTCGAGGGTTTCAGTAGTTGTGGCTTTCAGGCCCTAGAGCACAGACTCTATAGTTGTGGCACATGGGTTCAGCAAGGTTATAGCATCTTCCCAGATCAGGGATCACACCAGTGTCTCCTGCCTTGGCAGGCAGATTCTTTACCACTGGCCACTAGGAAAGTCCTGTGCTTTCTTCTTAACCTAGCAATTTCATCTCTAGAATGTATCATAAAGGATAATCAGATTAGTTCACAAACATGAAAAGCAATCAACTGGATGCATATAAATCTAAACAGATCAGTTACATTATGGCAGATTGATAATAATAAAATATTATACCATCACTAAAAATTAGAGCAAACTTCGTTGTTACTTAAAAAAAAAACTCAAAATAAATTTTTAGATACACAAGAAAGCCATGGTCCCATTTTAAATATACATTTCTGTATACACAGTATGTTGGTCCCTCCATTCCTTATGTGAAAGCCTTGGAGCCAGATTGTTTTCACAATTCCTAATGATGCAAAGTTTATAAAGCTAAAACAGTACATTTACCAAATACTTTCCAAATCCTCACTGGATTCTCAGGTGCCACCCCATGTGTGTGCATCAAACTTAGGGAAATATTTTTCATTTTCAATACTTTTTTGGAATTATAATTTTAAAAACAAAAAGCTTAGAAAAATACATACCAAAATATTAATGGTTATTATGAGAACAAATAACACCTAAATCTTGTTGTATTGCAAAACTTGCCACTCTCCTAACTCCCCCAAATTTGACTAACTGAAATCTGCTATGAGGCCACTAACTTATATTACAGGTTATTATAAGAAATAACCCACAGACTGTCACTGCATCAGAGGTGCCTCTGAAAGACATCACTGCTTCATGATATTGCCTTCTTTTTTTTTTCCCTTTTTTTTTATTAGTTGGAGGCTAATTACTTTACAATATTGTAGTGGGTTTTGTTGCTTTGATTCTTTTTTATGAAGACCCACCCAAGGGGAATGCCAAACGACCTTTAGACCAAAACAACTCTGACTCTCATAATCAACTGTCATAGACAAAGAACTGATATACATATTTCACAAGCTTTCTGGGTCAGGTGTTAGAGAACTGATATACATATTTCACAAGCTTTCTGGGTCAGGTGGTAGTCAAATTTGTGACTCACTCTCAGCATACTTTACAACTAAACTGTATTTTTAGCCTTATTCCTAAATTCACTTTTCCCTCATTCTTAGTATTCTTCTTGTCTCATTTTAAACTCAAACTATTTCAACATACTTAAAAAGTACTCCCTTTTAAACAACATACCCTATTGTTCTATAATTTTATTGCTTAGTTGGTATTTTTCTGCATTGTGCTTATTACCACTTAACAAATAACTAACCCATGTGTATATCCACTGTCTTTCTCCCCATCCTATCCTCATTAGAATGCAGGTTCCGGGAGGGTGGAGGCTTTGTTCTGGTCACTGCTATATTCTTAGCATCCATGATAATGTTTACATTTACATTAATAAATACCTGCAAACTGGAATGATTATGAAAACAGACCAATTACATTTTATGTCATACTATTACATAACAGAACTTTTCTGAAATTAAAAGTTATCTTCCATCTATATGATCTTTGACATTTTCATATTTCTCTGCAAGAGGCCAGATGTACCCATGGATAGAGTCTAGTATTTAGCAATTTTCTACAAACTTACATGCATAATTGACTGGTTCAATCCTGGATCCTACTCTTTATGGAAATATTTCAAAATACAGAAAAGGCATCAGATGCCAAAAAAAAAAAAAAATCATTAATTTATGATAGAAAAAAATCTGCAAATAGCAAAATATCCAATGATGGGAATGTTTAAATAAGTAACAGTATATCTATTATAATCATTATAATCATACAGCCATTAAAATATATTTATGAAGATTTTAATAACATGGAAGAATACTGATGACATGTGAAATGAAAGAAGATTAAATTACACATATACTGTGAGCTCAACATAAAAAAAAGAAACAAAAATACTGTTGTATATACTATATAAAATATTAATGAACTGCCTCAGAGATAAGCAATTAACATAGATTTTCTTTTTTCTCTGTTTTGCAAATTTTGTATCATCAATACATATTACTGTATAATCAAAAAAGAATAGTTTTGTGACAGAAGTCTATATGCTATTGTCATTAAAATCCTGAAAATTCTGTTAATTTACCATAGATAAACAAGCACCTTATTTACAACATAAAATAACAAAGCACTGTTAAATAAAATAAATACTGTACCTTCACTGCTACGTGAAGCTTTGCTGTTTTCTTGGATGGTCCTGAGGCTTCATATGTTGTACCATCCACATCTACAGACATTGTGAAGACTGGGGCATGGACAGGGCCAGACTGAGATAAGAGCTTATACTGAAGCCCAGGCCTGATCTGATTCAACCTCATTAGTGCATTCATAAGGTCTATTGCTTTACTATCCAGAACTGCAAGGGAAAGAGAAATGAGGTCAGAAATTAAACCACTTGCTTTAATCTATGTTTTTGTAGGTTCCTTGAAACTACTATAAACTCAGGTTTTAAAAAAGCAAGAATTTCAAAATACACATATAAATTCACTTCATAAATAATTCTAAAATTACTGCTTAAATACCTACACTAACATCATTGTAAAAGTAACATGCAGTAACATGTTTGTTGTTGTTCAGTTGCTAAGTCGATTCCAACTCTGTGACCCCACGGACTGTAGACCGCCAGGCTCCCCTGTCCATGGGATTTCCCAGGCAAGAATACTGGAGTGGGTTGCCATTCCCTTCTCCAGGGGAATCTCCTCATCCAGGGAGCAAACCAGTGTCTCCTGCAATGGCAGGTGGATTCTTTACCCATCAGGGAAGCCCATGCATTACCATAGCTATTAATTAATTTTAGCTTGCCAATATCAATATATCTTAAGGAAATGGTGCTTGAAAACAGAAGCTATTCATTTTCTTCAAATCTGAATGCACATCAAATTCTTCACTTTTTAATTCTTATTTTCTTGGGACATAAATCCTTTCTAGTTCACATCTATAAGAATAAAGATTTAAAAAAAAAAAAGAATAAAGATTTTACACACTTTTCCTTAAGTTTCGTTTCATCTTCTTATTGGGATCTTTATCATCCCCTAATCCATCTTCAAATGGCCTCTTCAGAGCTGAAGACCCAGCACCTAAAAAAAGTTACAAGAGATTATCAGTTAAAACAATGATCCCACTTACTCTACCAAATGTATTTAATATGTTCAGGAAGGAAAAATCTTAGGAATCACACAAGGACCATAAGACCCTTTCACTGATCAATTAAAAATGTAGGGACTTCCCTAGTGGTCTAGTGATTAAGACTGTGCTTCCAATGCAGGGGATGTGGGTTCAACCCCTGATTAGGGAACAAAGATCCCACATGCCACATGGTATGGCCAAAATATAAAAAAATTTTTTAATTTTAAAACATATATGTGTTTAGTACAGTTCAGTCGTGTCCAACTCTTTGCAACCTCACGGACTGCAGCATGCCAGGCTTCCCTGTTGATCAACAACTCTCGGAGCTTGTTCAAACTCCTGTCCATTGAGTGGGTGATGCCATCCAACCATCTCATCCTCTGTCATTCCCTTCTCCTCCTGCCTTCAATCTTGCCCAGCATCAGGGTCTTTTCCAATGAGTCGGTTCTTCGCATCAGGTGGCTAAAGCACTGGAGCTACAGCTTTAGCATCAGTCCCTCCAATGAATATTCAGGACTGATTTCCTTTAGGATGGACTGGTTGGATCTCCTTGCAGTCGAAGGGACTCTCAAGAGTTTTCTCCAACACCACAGTTCAAAAGCATCAATTCTCTGGTGCTCAGCTTTCTTTATGGTCCAAGTCTCACAACCAAACATGACTACTGGGAAAAAGCATAGCTTTGACTAGACAGACCTTTATTGGCAAAGTGATGTTTCTGCCTTTTAACATGCTGTCTAGGTTGGTCACAGCTTTTCTTCCAAGGAGCAAGCATCTTTTAATTCCATGGCTACAGTCACCATCTGCAGTAATTTCATAATCTTGTAATAGCAAAAACTTTTAACTGAATCTCCATGAAACAATATTAACCCTTCTTGTATTTATTTTTCTGTTTATTTACATACACTGATACAAATTATGCATATATTCACAACTATATACACATAAACAGAAAAAAGTTTGGAAAGATACATATCAAAATGTTAAAAGTAGTTATCTCTGGTAGTAAGATTTATTTTCACTTATGTCTTTTCAAATATTTCTCTAAGTTAACATTTATTATATAAATTTTTAAAGTCAACATGTTAAATCTCATGCTTTTGGAAATCTAATTATTTCTCATACTACAAAATAATTCTTCTGCCTGCCTGTTCAAATTCCTATTCAAGATTTTATTTACAGTTCATCTCCATTAAGTTTTCTTCAGCTTCTCTCTCATCTCAACTTTTAAAAGAGTTTCTATGGTAGCAGAAATATAAAGTGTCATATGGAGTCTTGTGTCATTGTCTATCTCATACATAGACACCTTGGGTTTCCTTAGTGCTCTGGGAAAGTCAAAGATATTTTCTCCTTATCTTATATCTTATAAACTATCTAACATAAGACTTAGAAACAACATAATGGTTATGGAACAAAAACTGAAAACTAATATTATCAATTTCTTAGATAAAGCAACTAGTTAGTAACACTGGCAGACATAAAGCAGGAGCTTTATTGTCCTAAACAAAACCAATCAGAGAAAAGCTTATCAACCTGTCCAAGTACCTTAAAAGACCTGTATTTTCACCTTAAAAGCTGGTTGTTGGGTTTCCTAAACAAAAGTTACACTCAAAAGATTCAAAAAAAAAAAAATTCATGCCATAATTTTTCCAGATACTTCTTAGAGATAACTACATATTTCTCTGATCATCAAGATTTATAATCCCTTCGGGTAAACACTGACTTCAGCATTTGCTTGAGTCAATACTTACCACTCAGGTCAATCAATCTTGATGTTCTCTCTTCAACAGAAGGCAATATCTACTTATATCTGCTTAGTATTGTATTTCATCTGCATTACATAAAACTGTGCGTATGCCAGTCTCCCAGAATGCAGTCTTCAAGAGACAGAGTTAAGGAACAACATCTATTCAATCATTCTCCCACTCATTAAGTTGCATTAAAAGCTGCTCTCTGATTGCCTGGAATTCACTAGCTGGCTTAAACATACAGATCTGTTCTCTAAAATCTCCAGCTACATGAACAGTTGCATGGATTAAACTTCATTCTACCATTCCTGCTACTAAACAAGGGCTGTAAAATCTAGAGCTAATCATAATAGTAATGGGGTGGGGAGCATGCCTTACAAAAAAACAAGCTGTTCTCAATACATACAGTACCTAGAAACAAGAAGTGGTCATTTGAGAGGCAATAGTTTTTTTTTGTTTTGTTTTGTGTTTTTTTTTTTCCCATTTATTTTTATTAGTTGGAGGCTAATTACTTTACATCATTACAGTAGTTTTTGTCATACATTGAAATGAATTAGCCATGGATTTACATGTATTCCCCATCCCGGTCCCCCCTCCCACCTCCCTCTCCACCCGATCCCTCTGGGTCTTCCCAGTGCACCAGGCCCGAGCACTTGTCTCATGCACCCAACCTGGGCTGGTGATCTGTTTCACCCTAGATAATATACATGTTTCAATGCTGTTCTCTTGAAACATCCCACCCTCGCCTTCTCCCAGAGTCCACAAGTCTGTTCTATACATCTGAGTCTCTTTTTCTGTTTTGCATATAGGGTTATCGTTACCATCTTTCTAAATTCCATATATATGTGTTAGTATACTGTAATGGTCTTTATCTTTCTGGCTTACTTCGCTCTGTATAATGGGCTCCAGTTTCATCCATCTCATTAGAACTGATTCAAATGAATTCTTTTTAATGGCTGAGTAATATTCCATGGTGTATATGTACCACAGCTTCCTCATCCATTCGTCTGCTGATGGGCATCTAGGTTGCTTCCATGTCCTGGCTATTATAAACAGTGCTGCGATGAACATTGGGGTGCACGTGTCTCTTTCAGATCTGGTTTCCTTGGTGTGTATGCCCAGAAGTGGGATTGCTGGGTCATATGGCAGTTCTATTTCCAGCTTTTTAAGAAATCTCCACACTGTTTTCCATAGTGGCTGTACTAATTTGCATTCCCACCAACAGTGTAAGAGGGTTCCCTTTTCTCCACACCCTCTCCAGCATTTATTGCTTGTAGACTTTTGGATAGCAGCCATCCTTGAGAGGCAATAGTTTTTAAAACAGGTGAGGGCTTACCATATGCCTAGCACTGTTCTTAATACCTTATATGAATTCATTTATTTAATTCTCACAAGCATCCTATGAAGTCTGTACTTCATCATTCTCATTACAATTTCATTCATTTATTTATCCAGCAACAAATATTAATAGAGCATTTCTATGTTCAGGACAGGTTTAGATGCTGGACATTGAGAACAAAACAACTTACCTGTTTTTAGAGAGCGTGTGTGCACCTGGTGGTGGAGACTAAGCCCAACATGTCGTATGGTTCCAGGCACAATGAAGAAAAGTAAAAGACTTAAGGGAGAGGAAGCATTGCTGTTTTTTAACATGCGGTGCCCATCAGAAAGGTATCACTTAACAGATAAGGTAATTAACTGACAAAAGACTTGAAGAAAAGAAAATTCAGCTATTTGGGGAAAGAGCCCCAGGAAGAGAAAACTCAGCTACAAAGGTCTTCCAGCAGGAATATACTAAGAAACAGCATAAAGGCCTGAGTGGTGGAGTGGCATGAACAACAACGGGACAAGAGAAGACGATGAACAGGAGCAGAAGTTCTCAACTTTAACTGCCACTAATGCACTAGAGGAACTTTTGGAAAATACAAAAGTTCCACTTCTAGTATGAGAAAGTAAGTCAATGGAAACAGACTTCCTGACGAGAGTAATTAGAAAAGCTGGACCAAATGCAGAATAAATATCTGCTCCTGTGCAATAATGAACTATGGAGTCAAGGTCCAAGAGATGAAGGAAACCTTGCACTGGGGGCCACATTTCCCTTGGAGGTATCCTCCACTCCCAGAAGAAGTCAATAAGAACTGAACAGAGCACTTCTTAAAAACTTTTTTTTATTATGGAAAATTTCCAACACACACAAAAGTGTAAAGAGTAGTATAATAAATTCCCATGAATCCAATTAGCTTCAAGAATTACCAACATGAGGCCGATCTCATCTCATCTGTATCATTCTCTTGTCCTCTCTCCATTTTTGTTAAACAATAGATTCTTGTTGGTTATTTATTTTAAATATAGCCATGTGTACATGTCAATTCCAAACTCTATAACAATCCCTCCCCATCAGGTAATGGTAAGTTCTGAACAGAGTACTTTTAATAGGCACCCAGGTCTCAGGGATCAAAAACTGAACTTTAAAGGACCTCCAAAAGAATAAGGCCTGGTGAATTTCCCACAACGTGGAGTGGCCCTCTCCAGTGCCGTATGTGGGAAGTAAATGAAGTGGAAATAGTCTGGATTTCACAAGGACTGAGGCCCAGCTTCAAATCACCTAAACACCCAATTCCATTAGGATGATCCAGATTGCCAATTCCACTAGCCCAGAAAGAAATACAAATCCTCCCTGAAGGACAGCATAAGTACTCTAGTCTTTAAATTCTAAAAATTTTTCAATTTACATCTCCAGTACTCAAAACAAAAACACATGAAAAGACAAGATATTCTGAACAAAATTCATGAGAATCAGCAGAAAATAGAAACAGATCCCCAAAAGACACTGATGATGAAGCACTCTTTCAGAAACAAACTGTATTAAAAAGAACAATCAGACTTCTCAAAAAGAAAAGACATCAAGAAGAATTTCTGCCACAATATCTAAAGCTAGAAGAGCCAAGATTCTAGAAATTAAAAACTGAAAGACCTACAATAGGAAACAGACAATCCATATTTGAGGGAAACTGACATACCTATCTCAATAATTAAGAGAATAAAGTTTTAAAAAATTATACTACAGATGTATAAGATTCAAACGACATAATGATCAAGTGTGACCTGACATGTAAAGAATATTCTGACTCTACCAACTGCAGACCATACACACTTTTTCAAAGTATGAATCATTTATAAAAACCAACCATGTGCTGAGCCATTAA